GTCTAGACATGGAGTTATGTGTAAGTGATAGCGGAAAGTTGTGGGCCAGCCACTAAATGGGGAGAGTGAGCATCTATGTTTTATCTTCAGATTGCAGATTTTTCTGACACAGCAGCACCTAGTTTGTCTCAGAGCGAGCTGAGGAACAGTATAGGCAGCTGGAAATGCCAGTGTTAAGCAGAAGTGACAGCCGGACACACATCCATGTCGGGGATGTTTTGCTCAGTTGTGCTGCCTGCTGTAATGGTGTAGCAGGAGTGTATTTACGGTGGGAGAGCTGCTTTCAGATGCCTGGTGATCTGAGGCTTTGAAGTGTTCAGAGGCTGGAGCAGCAGGTAGTTCTCCAAGGACACAGCGGGGTGCCTTGCAGGTGGCTTTACAACAGTCCTGTGTATGATACATACTAGCTGAGCCTTTTCTGCTCAGGCTGAGTAGTAGATTTGTTGAGGGGTAGAATTCCCTGAGGGTTTGAATGCTTTGTTGGTCTAGAGGAGTTTTGTATTTTGATGGACTTTTTTGAATCAAAACATATCCTCGATAGATCATTTAATAAATTGCTACAGTTAATTGATTATGTTTTTCCTTCTGCAGAGTGTGTTTCCCTCACAAATATGGAGAGAGAATTCATTCATGGTCCTTGATTTCTTCATTATCAGGAGGTGAATGTGCTACATACGCCCTGTAGTAGAAAGAGTATACAGTTTAAGGTGTATGTGATAGCCTAGGGGAATAGGAAGTTTTCTTACTTGTGTCTTAGAAGTCGCCTTTGCAGCACCAGGAGTGTTCTAGAGCTTTGCCTCTCCTGCTATGAATTGCACCTTGTTAGTAGCCTGGGATTTCTTCTTGGTTTTTGTCTGTAAGTGGATAAACACAAAGGGAAAACTGAGACATAGTAAAAGTATGATCCTCCTACTGTTCTCAGCGATGAAAACCTTTTAAAACATGTGAACACCTATGCTGTCTGAAAGGATCATACCTGTGAAAGAATAAGCATGTTCTTAGTATCTCTCCTGAGTGGTGGTGGGTCTAGCTACTAGGTTCATCCTTAACTTCCACAGTCATGTAACAGGATTGGCACTTAATGAGACACCTTTTGTCTCTGATGTCTTGTGATAATAGTGATGAATGCTCTGGGTGTGTTTGTTTAGCTTTGTGCTTTCTAGTTGTGTACTTTTTCTATTCACTGTTATTCACGTGGCTTTTGGTAGTGTGGGCTCTCTTAACATCTCATTAAGTTTCCATCTGCTGGAGAACTCATTTCTCCCATGAGGTGTATAACGTTATCTTACAGAAGTTTTATGTTTGCCAAATCCCCGTGATTCAGCCTTCCCTTATGTTTTTTGTTATTTTACCAAAACTGGGTTTAACTGTCTTGTTATTTAGTTGTTTTTCTAGTCTTGGTTTTCTAGTCCAGTTTAAGACTAATCCTAGTATTCAGAAAACTGTTGATGAATATAGTCATTTTGAATAGTTAATGCAAGAGGATAATTTTGGTGAAAAGTGTCTGTAATCTTTCCAGAATAACTCAATTAGGTTAATGTGCTTTTACAAGCGTAGAAGAGCTGGTTTGAATCTGTGTTTGTTTTGACCACAGTAGATTGTTCCTTCTGTACAATCCAGGAATGGTTCTTACTTCACATATTAGACATAAAAATCGGATCATTCATCCCTGAAGTGGTTGTAATTGCCTATGAACTTTTTCTTTCAGTGAGGTTCCTCTTCTGGATTAAGCATGAAAATTTGGAATGGATGCTGAAAAGACACATAACACCCTCTTTTTCCACCTGCACTTTTAATGGTGTACTCAGAGTGGGTGGATTCCTTATTAATGAAAGCAGCTCTGGGTAATACAGTGACCTGGTCCTGGCACTGTTGAAGGCAGTGATACTTTGCCATTAACTTTAATGGGAGCAGGGTTGAAAATCTGGTTTGAGATTTCCAAAGTATTAAATTTAATACTGTTAGGGGCTGGATAGTTTACTATCATTAGGCTAGCGCCTTCAGTTCCTTGCAGTTCTGTGTCTTAAGTGGTGGTGGTTTGACTCTGTGAATGCTGCCTTATAGCTGGGTTCTGTTTATTCAGTGAGTAAATGTTTTCTGTATTGACGCAAAGCCGTTGCCAAAGGTCATCTGTTAGCTATAGTTACAGATCTTAGTGGGTAGTAAAATCACAGTCCCATGAGAAATTCTTACACCTTTTTCTTCTAGTATTACGTAGAGTCAGTTTACACTGCTCAGAAAAATACAACAGCTTCTTCAGTAACTTACTAAAAACATTGTATGCTTTCAGTGTGTGTTCACCAATGTTATGTACAAGGAAACAGCTATTACAGAGCTATGTAAGAAACTATTTCTTCCCTTATTCATTGTAGGGAGTTAATTGGCATGGAAAAAATACAGCTTCTCCTGAGGAAGGCTGGCTGCATTTGAGTTGTCCCTTACGCATAGCAATTTTATGTTGTGTGCTTTGGTATAAAACTTTAAAAAAAGTAATTTAAAATGAAGTTTCTGTAGTTTTGGTGCTAAGAGTTGACCTTTCATGTTGCATGGGATAGTTAATTGATTTGGTGGCCTAACCCTTGCGTAGATAGACTGTGTCTAAAATAGAAGTACACATTTAAGACACTGTTTTGATGTGTAGCATCTGACTGAGTAAAGAAATGGAGAAGATACAGCAGGGATTATTTTACTCTTCACCCTTTGTGGCTTTTCTGCGGCATGAGAGAGACCTGGGAGTCCATCTTCTAATACCCATAATAAAACAAACAAACAAGCCCCATATGCTGCTTGCTTACTTGTCTTCAGCTTATGATAAATTGTCATCAGAGCTGCGTGACAGCACATGGGTAAAGATCCAGAAGTACATTGTACTGCTGCTACTGCTGTAGTTTTCCCAAATGCACGCATTACTTGGGAACAGCTGGATTAAACCTCCAGACCCACCAGCTCATTTCCCACAGAAACTTGTGAATCAAACACCACTTTGCCAATACAGCTTGGTGTTCTTAATTCCTTGCCTTGCAGGCTCCATCCCCCAGGCCCAGCAGTGTACAAAACACCCCAAACCACAGATGAATTAGAAATTTCAAGTGTCTGACTTGCTGGTGTAGCGGTCTGACTAGCTGAATATCTTGGTAGCAGATGGTTGGTCAGATATTAATGTCTTGCTGATGGAAAATACCAGAACCCACGAGAACTGAATACTGTCTGGGTGGGTATGAATGCGGTCCATCTTCTAGTGAGGCTCTTGATTAATCACATCTGCCTAAATGTTAAAATGTTTGTATTGTTATGGTGCAGGAAAAATCTGTTTTTCTGTCATGGATTTTAGCTGTATGTCTGACACTTTTTGAGTGCTTACGCTTACTCCCCTCTGCCTTTTTTAGGTTGAGTTTGGATAAGGCTGATAGGATCCTCACAAGTAGTTTCTACTGCTGCTTGTGGTTTTCCTTTAGTTTTCAAGGGAATGAATAGAAAATTGTAATTGTGAAATACAGGAGCTTAGGACAAGTGACCATGACTTTTAAAAAGCTTTTAAAATCACCAGCTTTTATATTAAAGTGATGACATGTGCTTAAAATAATCTTTTCTGTATTCTTATCTCAGAAGATTTTTAGCCGTTTGCTCTGTTACCTTGCTTTAGTTTGACCATTATGCATGTCTGTGTAACCTGTTACTCATTGCTGTGTACAGAGCAGTTTCTATTTGGGCAGATTCCTTAATGGAATCTGAAAAACTGAGAAGACAAGACAGAAGTGTAACTACGACATAATGAATTCTTCTGATGACTTGTTACTAGCTGTGTCTTTCAAGTGAATATCTTGGTCAGTTGCTTCACTTATAAAATGATTTTTTGTTTTGAGAGCTTATCCCATCCTATGCAGTCTGGTTTTGAACAGTACTCTCTGATCCCTAAGAGTTTTTCAGCTGGATGATGTAAGGTGATGTTGCTCTTATAGACTGTAGCTTACACTTTCTACTCCTATTGTCTATGTGCACAGGCAGTGGAGAAATGAGCAACGTGGGAAGGCCTTTGCATCTGTTCTGTTTGTCTGTACTTAATGCTCAGAGTTGCAAAGTCTGTGTTCAGAGTTCAGTGTGTAGGTCCTAGCTTCCCTATCATACAGATGTTACTTCAAGTCCTTCATCTCTCCATCCCATGAGGATTTATTGTTGGTTTGTTTTTTTTTTCCCATTGCTGCTGTGTAGTTGGGAGTAGAAAATGCCTGCTGTACCTGTAAATCTTCCTGAATTAAAATCAGTTGATTGGCACAGGTATAATACACTCTGGTGTCAAAGCACTGCCTTGACAGCAGAGTGTAGGTGCTTTCTCTTTTTGCTTTTCTCCTGTTACAATATTTCTGAAAGCTGACAGAGACTCTGCCAAAAGGTTTCAAGGCAAAGAGGTATAATTTGTTTGGAATGGAATGAATAATTATGCAGATGAAAATTATACACCACACTAAGAGATTTGCTCAGAAGAGACAGCAGCTTATTTCTGTGGGCTCTGCGGTGTGTGCACGGCAGTGGGCTTCATTTTGAAGAGGCTTGCTCTTTGGCTGACCAAAAGAGATATTTAGGACATTAATATGTTAGCTTGAAAGAGTACATTTCTGGCTGCCAGCAGACCTCCTGGTCAGTGATTAATCTGTAGAAAGTGGTTTACTGGTGCCCAGGGGGAAGCATGGTATGGGATAGCTTTCTTTCAATGCTGGGGGAAAAGGCTGGTAAGTGCTATGCAGCCAATGCCTCTGTAAGTAGAAAATTACAAACAAAACCAAACCAGAAGAGCAATCACTGAAGTTTACAACTGAGTAACTTTTATTTTCTGGTTCATTTTGAAAGAGTCTTTGGAGGTGTGTCTTAGGAGCCTGCCTCTAGTTTACCTTACTCATACAATTGCACTGAAGTCAATTGGCCTTCTTGGGTGTGTGGAGAGAGCAAAGGCTTTTATTGATAGATGGCAGCAGTGTCTGCAAATGATCATTTCTGTATCCTAGGTCTGTCCACCTGGTCTCAGCATTCCAGATCTCGACGTCGGAGGACGTCGTGTTCCAGACATGAAGATCGGAAACCTTCTGAGGTATTTCTGGAATGTGATTTGCATTTTGTTACATCTGTCAAGTACAGAGCCATATACATGTTCTGGTAATGGATCCATTGCTTCAGTTCTACATTTTCTTTTCTTTCTGCTACGTTTTAGCTGGCACTTTCCCCACATCCCCAACTTATTTTTTTGGCCAGGAGATAAGGGAGTTCAGCTGTTGGCACAGCCACTGCCAGCAGCAGTCTCTATCTGTGAATTTTGTTATAGTCTGACACCCGTTCAGCATGGCTGTGTAGTCTTTTTTTCTACTCTTCAGGCTTCGGGGTTTATTTGTAGCTTGATATGTGAACAGTGAAAGTCAACATTAGGTGCATTTATTGCATAGTTGGTATTGGGTCTTGGTATGTGATCTTTGTTAAACTGCTTGTCAAACTAGAAGTCTGCTTCTTGACAGTTCTGATTTGTGTAGTGTTTTGAGGAAATCCTGTTAAGGGAGATGCAAATCTTTGAACTTTCCAGGATGGATCAGCTGTTAGTAACGCGTAAATGCGATCCAGTTCTTTGGAAGTATTCTTGGTGAATCTCCCTATCTTCAGGCAAATACTGCATGGCAGACTTTGTGGAGGCTGAAAGTATTAATGTTGGGAGATAGAATTTCTTCATTTCATGTACTTGCTCAATACATGTATTTCTGGTCCATTAGTAAGTGATTGATGTTGAGTGAAATCTTGGTTTATTAATCTCCTCAATGACAGTATGCCCAGGTCCTGGAGAAGAGTTTTCACCTGAAGAATCTCTCTCATTGCTCAGTGTGAGCGACACCAAGTACTGGTGGTTTCCAGTCTTCTTTTTTGGTTGTTGGCTGTTATTTAAATTTTTCCTTTTTTCTTGGTGACTGTGGAGACCCCCTGGTGATGGGCTTGCTTTCCTTAGTTATCTCTTGTACTTCTTTTGGAAGTAGCCCCTTACATGCAGGTTTGAGAACTACCTCTGGAAAGGCCATCTGGAAGTAATTTGAGATAATTACAAATCTTGCTGTTGTTTTTTTGTGAGCTTCTGCTTTCTCACTGTTGCTGCATTTGTTGTCAGAATCTGCAGTTTTGTGCTGTTCTTTCTTGTCTTCTGAGCCTGGATGGACTTCTTATACACATCCCTTTAGCTCTGTTTCCCTGCCCCTGCTGCCTCCCTCCATTTGCATTGTCTCTGCTCACCACAGCACACTACTCTGATGAGAAGTGTGCTGGCAGGAAAGTGACACTTGCTAAACTCCCTGGGTGAAATCCTGCTCTCACTGAAGTTGGTGGCAAAATTCCATTGACTTCAGCATGGCCAGAGTTTCACCCTTCAGCTTTGAAGTGTTCAGTGCTTCTGAGAGCCAGCACTCCTGTAAGCTCTGCTTTGCTCCGGGCAGTCTGATTTCATCAGAAATTAGAGCAGAAAGAATGGTGTCACGGGGCCACTGGCCTGGGAAGAAGTTTCTTGGCTGCCAGGTGCTGCATTAGCTTGGCTTCTGAGGGAGTTTAGTGACAAATTTATCCTAGAGCCTGAGTTTCATTTGGCTCTTGGATGCAGCAAGGCTTGTGACCCGTTTTACATTTTTAGGCTTCTTTTCATTTGACATCTGATTGCTTTACATCAAACCACTTAGAAGTGCAGAATCCCCTGACCAGCTGTGTGTGTTTTGTGAGCTTGTTTACTTTGTGGCTTGTTTTTTGTTTCATGAGTGGAGCCTCACAGGGCTCGTAATTGGATTGTTGGGAACATTTCATTATATTCCATTACCTGAATTCTTCCTTTCCTTCATATGGTAATATTATTCTTTATTATTGGCAGTTTTTCTGAACATGTCAAGACAAATGTTAAGAAAAATGTCATGATTTTGTGCTATTTTTTGACAAAGCCAGAGTGGAAACAGAGACAGAAGTGGGGTAGTATGTGTGTGATGGGAGGGAGGAGAGGTGCCAAGATGTGCAGTGTGGTGAGGCAAATCACACTTTGAAATATTCTCAGAAGTGTAATTAACCATGAGTTTCACTGTTTTCCTGAAGTGCTTCACAAAAATCATAGGGAGTCTACTGAGGTTTCAGGTTTGTGACTATGGTATGACAGAAATGGCTGTCCTGGGAGGCTGCCTCATCAGCGCTCTGCATAGACTGGGCTCTTTCTCAGCCCTAGGCAGCTGCTGGCTGGAGCTAATGTAGAACCATTGCTCTCCAACTGGGAGGTTAGGTCCCTTTGCCCCAGTAGCAGTGCAGTAAGAGAATTTAGAAGCACTGCCCAGATCATCTGTCTCCTCCTTTGTAACTGTGCAGTGTGGGGCTGAGTGGATGCAGAACCGCAGAGTCTGCAGGGGAGCTTTTCTTAAGACGTTGCCTGTCTTGTTGTCCTGGTGGGGCTTATTTTCTGTCAGCTGGTTGTTTTTTTCCTTTAAATATGGCATTGAGCAGTTAAAAATGAGTGGATGTGGAGGTGAGGAGTGGTGAGAGCAGTTGTACTCCACAGCAGCCTTGCCGTGCAGCGAGAGCTGGATGGGGACAGCTGGAAGATGCACAAACAAGTGCAGGCTTGTACTTCTGCTGCCTGTGATAGCACCCTTTGTGTTCTGCAGTGCTGACAGGCAGTGGCTGACCAGGTTGAAGCTGCTACAGCAGTACCACAGCATGCCTGCTACAAGAATGAATCCCTTTTAATTTCATTCTATGGCTTGTTTAAAACAGTATCACTGCTTGTTTATGGCTGCTAACCCAAAGGCTTCCAAACATCTTGCTCATTTTAGAGGTGGATGCCTTTGCAAAGACAAAGTAAACTCACAGCTGTGATGCAGAGGTGTCTGCAGCTGATGGAACAACTGCACCTGTGCTGAGTAATGGAGTTGCCCCCACAGTTCCAGTTTGGGTCTTACTTTATTTGATCTTTTTGGTTATTATTTCAAATACTTGCACAAAGAGTCATCTCTGTAGAATTTCCTCTTGTGGCTGGTCATGGTAGAGTCACGCCTTGATTTCTACCACAGGGAATTTTTAGAATTGCTTTGGATTAGTCAGAACTCCAATAATTAAGAAAAAAAACCCAAACCTTGGAGGAAAAATGAGTTTTTCTTGTGCTGCTGTTTTAAGACTCAGAGCTGCTGCAGCTTTTATTGCAGAAGGGCAGAGGTGAAAGTGGATGTCAGCTTTTAGCATTATGCCTCCAGTGTACAGGGAGTGCCAGGACTTGTAATGGAGTTAGCTGGAAGTCATTCTGTCAGTATTTGCACCTTCAGCCATCCCTTTCCCTGCAATGAAGCTAAACTTCTGTTCTGCAGCAGGCTGGGTTAGTTCACTGGTGATACAGTGACCTTGTTGCACACTGTGCTCCATGGTTACTGTGCAGCTGTGAATCATAGAGTGTAAATATCAAATGTCGGTGTCTCTATTTTTCTCTCTTGGTCACTCTCTTTGCAGGTGTTCAGAACGGACCTGATCACTGCCATGAAGTTACATGACTCCTTCCAGCTGAACCCTGATGAATACTATGTGCTGGCAGACCCCTGGAGGCAGGAGTGGGAAAAGGGAGTTCAGGTGCCAGTTAGCCCAGGGACCCTCCCAGAACCAGTAGCCAGGTATAGTTTGAAGGAATGTAAATAAATACACAAACATTTATACTAGCAGCTATATCTACATTGCCTTGGCTTCTTGAGCTGTATTCCACAGTGTCTAGCTAGAAAGGTCTTGGTTCTTGGAGATGAAGAGCAACCTGCCTCAGCTTTTTGAATGATCAGAGAGGTCAAGAGTCAGGCTTGCTCTGCCTGTGTGTTAAAATGTGAATGTCAGAGAGTAATTTTTGGCATTACATTAGGATGGAGTGTGATGACAGAACCTTACAAATAGCTTCTATTTTTAAGTCCAGACTTGACCTCACTCAGCATTTCCAGGAGAGCCCTTGTCTAATGCTTCTTGTGTTTAGTTCCAAGCCATAGGTTCCTTTCAAGGAGCAGTTAGACAGACTTAAGGGCTAGGGAAAACACAGCATTTATTCTGGTTTTGAGTTATTTTTTTGGTTGTTTCATTTACTACCTTAGGAAATGGTTTGTTGTACAACATTTCAGCTGTTTTAAGAGCCATCCAGATGTGCATGTAACTAAATACATTAATGTGAGATTTTCTAGCTCTTACCCAAGAAACCCTTATTTTCCTTACCTTGTTTGTTATACTTGGATACTGTTTTCTGTTTCAAATTAAACAGTGGTAAGGGCAGGAGTGTGCTGCGGCCCAGCTGTCTATTTCATGCTTAGTTGGGATTGGAGCTGGAGAAAGTGGGAAGAACAAGCATTATTGCTATTTAATTCTACTAGATCACTTTGATTAAAGTCCAGGCTGGGCTGTAAGGTGTTACCAAATGACTCACCAGTGCTGATGGAGCCAGAACAGCCCGATCCCTGATATACAGCAAAAAATCATGGATAATGCTACGCTGCTTTTGCTGTCTTTAACCTTGGAGCAGGGGGACTACAGGAATGTTTAGCACTTCTTGTGTTCTGTGCAGCAGCCTGCAGACCGCTGCACAGCCCCACTAGGTCTGTATAGTGAGGAACTTCACTGACAGATCAGGTAGACCCTCTCCTTCCTTCTTCTTCCAAAGGAATGGAGGTGGATGTCCAAGGAGAACTTGAGATTTTTTCCTTGTGCTGTGCAGTTTAGAACATGGGAGCATACTGTTTTCCTGCAGTGCTTGTAGTCTGCTCTACACTGACCTCAACCAGTCCCTAACGTAAATGCACACACACTGGACATGTGTGCTCAGATTGTTGTCTTCTCACTGGTTTCTCCTTCAGGCATCTCCCAGGGCTGCAGGATGGCTGGGAGACTGTGGACTTCAGCAGAGGGAAACTGTCCAGGGGATCCCCACCCTGTTTATTTCAGGGAGGTGGTTTGGTAGCTGTATCAGATCCAGGTACTCAGGAGAGTTTTTCTCTGCCAGTGGCCAACAGAGATGTTGCTCCAAATTTAAGATACTAAAGGAAATGGGGAAAGGCACCACCCACAGTTGTAGGTATCAGTACAGGAGGCATCACTGCTGAGCAATCTTGTATGGTGCTGCTGGAGAGCACCTGCTGCTCAGAGTGGCTCTGTGATACCTGATTATTTTCTTGCTTGCTCCCTCACAAAATACTCGAACTCTGTGGTGGTGGTGCTGTAGAGCTGGAACTGTTCTGTACCTGACTGTGGGAGGAGAGGCAAATGTTCTGTGAATTGAACCAGCAGTACTGAAACAGTAGCTGATGTAGAACAGAGGCAAAATACAGTACAGACAGCTGATGCCAGCAACGTATGTAATGGTGAATTAAAGGTTTTGGCTGGTCAGAGCAGGAGGTGTAGCTTCAGAGGGGTGGTGAAAGGAGCAAGTCCATGTGGTGATTGCATATAAGCATAGTCAGGAGGATAATGCAGTTGGATGGCTTTGTCGGTATGTGGCAAGTGTTGCATTTTTTTACTTACTTTGATAAGAAATAAAGAGGTGGAAGTGGTTTATTTTGAAGCCAAACTGCCTGTGCCACTAGAGTGGTATATTTAGACAGCATGTGAAAAGTGCAGCCCAGAGTTTGTGGTTTCTGGATGGGGTGGTACTCAGGAAGGAATTTCTAGTGCAGAAGACACAGAGAGCAGTGCCCAGTTTCAGGTAAATATTCTGTGAGCTGTAATAATCCCTAATATTTTAATACTGTGCAGCATGACCAGGAATGATTTGGGCAGTGCAGTTAGGCTGGCATGGTCATTCATAGTTGTATTCTTCCTTTCTGCACCTCAGAAGCCGCAAATTCAGCATTTGGCTCCTAACCACAGTTGGCACCATATGTCAGATTGTTGTCTGAAATAAGCTAGATGAGGGGAAGATTTAGGGCTGTGCAGAAGACTGAGATAGGTAGAGGATTTACTGTGTGTGCAGATGAAGTAGTGGCAGATCAAGGTCTTCTGATGGGAGGAGGAGGCATTAACATGTTGGACTTCAAATGGGGGCAGAACAGGTTGGAGGATGTCCTGCTTGTTGTGTAGCTTAGGCCATTCCCAGCAAAAAGTTGTGTGTACATGGAGTGGTGTTATCTCCTTGCTAGTAGCATTAGTGCAACAAAGATCATCTGCACTGGTGCTGCAGGGGGCAGTCGCTTGGCAGTGTGACCTGTTGCTTCTGGAGGTACCAGCCTTACGTGGTGAAGTGGATTTGATCCAAACCGAATTTCAGTGTGTGCAGTTAACTAAGAGAAAGTCCAGTGTCCTCTAGCGAGGGAACTGTGCTGCAGGATGGAGTTACCTTACTGTTTGGAGGCAAGCCTGATGGTAGAATGACTGCTGTCCTTTGTGAACTGGGTGGTTTTGCCCCCAGTTCCTGGCTTTGCAAGGTTGTGGTATTGCAGGAATCTGACTTAGAACAAGTGATGTGTTGTAGGTACTTTACTGTTTCCTGAACCAATGCCTGGGGTCAAACAAAAATTCCATTGGCTTGCAGCTAAAATACACTTTCATGATTGGTTGTTGGCCAGCTGGAGCTTTCACAGCCTGAGAGAAAGTAGTTTCATCAGTAGCTGATTAATATTTGCACTTGACCCAGCATGGCATTAGTGAATGTGAAAGAGGAAATGCAGACTGAAAATGCTTGGGTAAGTGGAGGTAAAACTAGTGCAGGTTACTGATTCTCTGTGGAAAAGTCTTCTGAATTTCACAGGGATGACAATTCCTTAGCTACACGTGTACACATACACAAAACCCCTTCAAATGTAGCAGGAAATACTACTTTTTTTCCTTGAATTTTCATGATCTTGGTATTGTAGATTTCCAAACAAGTAATGTAGTTCAACAGATTGATTTTAAAAAAGGCTGGAAACCAGAGTTTACATCTGTGTGTATAGCAGCTATCACTACATGAATACAGTGTTCCCACTTTAGCTTTAAACAAGTGTGAATTTCAGGTAAGAGTAAGCACAACCCTATCCTCTAATCTTTCCATTTTATTTAGATTTTTGGTAACGAATCTGGTTTCTAGACTGCTCCAGTTAACATCTTATAATATCACCTGTCCGTTATGGAAATGTGCTGTACTGTTTCCCTTAGTGAGCATGATAATTGCTTAGGTGGTCAGATATGTCCTGATGATGGTTAGTCGCTTAAAGTGAGGCAGTTTGAGTTCTCTAGAAAAAAGTCTCTCAGCATCCCAGCATACCTGACATCCTCTTGTCTGTCTGTTTTAGGGTTGTGTCTGAGACGAAAGCCATCGCGTTTACACGACCCAGGAAGTACATTGTTTCATCAGGGTCGGAGACTCCGGAGCTGGGCTATGTTGACCTTCAAACCTTAGCAGACAGCATGTGTCGCTATGACCTCAATGATGTGGACGTAGCATGGTTGCAGCTTGCCAATGAAGAATTCAGAGAAATGGGTGAGCAATGAGTGATGGTTGTTTGTGTTTGTTTTTAAAGGTTTAAGAATAATTTGAGGGCAGCAGCAGGAAGAGATGGGGTAGCCATGGGAAGACGCGCCTGATGTGATTAAGCCATAAGATACAGGCTTTTGTAAGTGCTGAGTAGTATTTGTTTAGACCAGATCGGAGTCTAGCCGCATGGTTGGTTTTTTTTTTTTTTCTCTGCTGCTTTCTATTTCACAAGTCAATTCTCCCAGCGTTCCCGTTTTGCCATCAGGCTTCTTGAAGAGGACATTAGCTAGACTGTTCATTGTTTCCCCAGTTAGTCCTTTCCATTTACTTACTTATTTTTGTCTGTGTCATACCCATATCATCTTTTTAGCTAGCCATGTGGAGTGTAAAGAAAGTAGACAAGGAGTCTTGGGATGTCTGGAGAGCTTAATGCCATGCCAGTTGCACAGGGAATGAGACATTAAGGAACTCCTGTAGCGATCTATTGGAGGAACCTCCCAAACCTTACTGTGCCTGTGGGCTCCAGTTAGGAAGCAGGAAGAAGAGGTGTTGCAGGAGGAACAGCTCTTTCTTTTTCTGCAGGATGACTTGTGCATTGGAAGGGACAAGGAAGCAGGGCAAGAACAGGAATGTTGGTGAATCTGGGTTATGTGTCAGCATTGTGGCAGTCCCCTACTCTGGGTTACAGAATGCTCATACGGGTTTTATCTGGCTGCAGCCCACGTGTGGCATGACGCAAGACCTGGTAAACCACAAACTGACTGTTTAGAACTCTTGAATTAAACCCACATATGACCTAGCCATGACCTGGTCTCTTACCCAAACCTTTTTTCCAGATCTCAGGTCAGGCCTGCTCAGGTTTAGTGTTGGGCTTAAACAAGTCAAGCCAGTTCATAATTGAAGAGTTTAAGTTACTTTTCCAAGTGACCTTCAGGAAAACAGCACCAGCAAGTCCCCTTAGCTTTCTTCAGAATAAAATAAAAATACTTTTTATGATTTTCAGTTGATGCCCATCAGTGTAGATAATCCCTTCTGTCCATCTGTCCTGCCAGAACCAGAGGAGGGCTGCCACAGTGTTACACTGGGGTGTGAGTGGGGAGGTGTGTGAAGCCCTGAAGTGGCCATTCTGCTTGTTTCCTCTTGCTGCCTTCCATCTGCTCCTTGTGGGAAATGTTGGAGGCATTGATCCCTGCTGCAGAGATTTACCCGCTAGTAGGGGAAGCTGGAAGTACTTCCATAGAGTGTTTGTCTTTGACCTGCGGGAGCTAGAGAGGTTTTTAATCCTTCATTTTGTGGAAGTTATGGCTCAGTCACACGGAAAGCTGAAAGGAGGATTTTCTTGTTAAAACACACATCGTAAGGTTGCCATCTTCTGTATGTCACAGGAAACATTAGGTATTAGACCAAAAGTGGGATATCCTAAACCTGTGCTTCTTTGTAGTGATTTAACTATATGGAAATTCTTGTGCTAAACTGACTTGGCAAAAGGAAGATGACTGTTGGCAGTAGCATAGCTGTCCTGGTTTCACCGGGGCTTGTGCGGCATGATTGTGTGGGGAAGGTCAGTGCAGCACCAACCTTGGAAGTATTATGGCCAGCTCATTGTCATGGCAAGTGAAACATGGAAGCCAGAGGGGGAAGCACCATGCTCTTTTTTGATATCTTTCCTGCTGCATCTATGATAGATATTTTTGAGGTCTCTAATGGTAATATAATTAACAAAGAGAGATTATAGAATACTGTAGTACAGTCAGCTTGCAGCTGTGGTGTCATGAATAATTTTCTGATGGATGTCGTTTGAAAAGACCAAGTCCCAGATTAGATGGTGAATGTATTTATTGTCCCAGATTTGATGTTGCATGTATTACTGGTGTGTTTTCACTTGTCAAACCAATTTATTGTCAGTTGGGGTTGCACCCTCTTGAGTTGGAAGTTACAGAAAAAACAGCAGCTGTTGTTAGAAACTTTTAAGTTTGCCGTAAGTATTGCAGCAGATTTTGTCAATGATTTCCTCCCTCTGCCCTCATCGCTTTTGGTTCAAAACACTCTCAAATCCTTCACCAAAGAGTCAACATATGGGTTGCAAAATTGAAGCCGAAGCCATAGACGGGGCTGTACCAGAAGGAAAAATGAGAGCAATACCAGGAAGCCAAAATCAGTTTATGGAAATTTTCCCCAGGATTTTGAAAGATTTCTTTGGATATTGCACTTCTGTTAGGTTAATACAGTTATAAGACAACTTTGACTTTATTTTCCAGTTTCTCTAGTTTATGCTGGAATAGGCTGAGGTTGTCAAGGAATGAAATGTGCCTGCTCGGGGGTTGGCTGTATCTATTCAGCTGCTAAAACAGAAGCTGGAGCTGTGTGTTACCACTCTTTCCCCTGCTCCCCAGGGATGCCTGAGCTGGATGAATACACGATGGAAAAGATCCTAGAGGAGTTTGAACTACGATGCTATGAGAACATGAATCATGCTATTGAGACGGAAGAAGGACTTGGGATTGAATATGATGAAGATGTTGTCTGTGACGTCTGTCAGTCTCCAGATGGAGAAGATGGCAACGAAATGGTGTTTTGTGACAAATGCAATATTTGTGTGCACCAGGTATGGTGGCCCAGGGCACTGTGACGTGTGTAGGGGTGGTGACAGAAACTTTTCAAAACCATTAAAGATACGAGATGGGATTTTTTCCAGTGACATTGATCTGTTCAGTTGCACAGAGTTCATCATCAAGTGGTGGGGTGAATTCAGAAATTATGTAATTGACTAGAATTGTTACATGTGATTTTAGAAGTATCATGCTGAGAGGGTTAAAAGTAGTACTGTTTATGTGTGGAGGAGTTACAAGGTGAGGAGTTGCCTCCCCAGAACAGATGTGTCTTGTTACACATTCTCACCTGGTCACTTCTTGTCCTATATTCATATCCTCTCTGCACAGTATCAGTAACTGAGGCTCAGCAGGGAGGGAAAAAAGGGTTACAGGCAATCAGTGGGGACATAGGGAGGATTTATTATAGTAATTTTAATTTAATGGAGAACTTACAGAGCTGAGCTAGTGAAGCGCTATTATGTGCCCTTTTTGTGCCATTTAAAAAGTCTTCAATTTTAGCATTATCTGTTTCTGTGGATGCTTCTTATTGCAGCAGGTGCTTTTCTGTCAGTCTGTCCTTCCTTCCTTCCCAGCTCTAAGAAGTTTGGTTTGCCATTCATTGTTTTCGAAACTGTGGTTTTGTGAGCAAGAATGGCATTTTTGTGTATGTGTTACTTAAATGCAGTTGTACTAATGATAAAGAAATACACCTGCGAGAGCTGTGAGGTACAGATGGCTTTCTTGTGAGATATGCAGTGAGGTGGATGTTTTTAGACTTGTAGTGGTTCTCTTTCCTTAGTTTCTGATCACATCAAATCTGAAACTTAAGAGGATTAAAACTGACAGTATTGTGGACACAGGTCTCCATAACGGTGCAGTATCTGAAAAAAATGATACTAGTTCGATGCTGTTCTGCATTTTTCCCTCTGAATACAAAGTAAAACCTGATGCTCCTGAGTTAACATTGAGTACTGCACAGCCGAGCTTCTTAGTTGGTGATTCTAGCCTTTTGAGTTAGGTATAGCCCAACCCCTGTTATGTGAGTCTTGGTGATACTGAACTTTGTGGGAGCTGGCTTCTGGCAGGGTTGTCTGTCAGGAGTCCCCTTGCTGTTTGGGCTGGCAAACACATTTTTTTCTTTTTCCCAGATGATGTTGGCAGTGGTTTTTGCCTAACAGCTGGTCATGGCATCTGATCTTTGTGGGGAATGAATGGGTGGTGAGGTTGGCTAAGTTTTTGAAAGCATCCTGAGATCCTCCACAAGATGAAGTGTCTGTAGTGTCGGCAATCCCATAAAGAAGTGTTCGAAAGCTGGGAGAGGCTACATGTAAGCAGCTAAAAAGTAACAGAAATTCACATCATTCCCATGTTTTCTTTCCCCACAGGCATGCTATGGGATCCTGAAGGTGCCAGAAGGCAGCTGGTTGTGCAGGACCTGCGCACTTGGCGTTGAGCCCAAATGTTTGCTGTGTCCTAAGAAGGGTGGAGCCATGAAGCCAACTCGAAGTGGCACCAAGTGGGTCCACGTTAGTTGTGCTCTATGGATTCCAGAGGTAGGTACTGATCCTATGGGAGTGCTGGGCTGCTGGGTTCTGGGAGCAGTATGTTATAAAAACATAGCTCAGCTTCTTGTGTGTTGCTGCAGTGAGCTTAACATACATATGATAGTTCTCAGTAAGACAGTATAAAGGATTTTCAGTAAGGTGTACAGTCTGGCAGGATGATGCATCATCTATAAAGAAATTACATTACCTTTGTCAACCAAAATTAGGCCTCAAAAAACGAGGCCTTTGTTGCTGGCAAATCTCCTTTAACAAGGACACAAAGTACTGCTTTATTTTGTGAAGGGAACATTAAAGGTGTATCAGGAATGTTTGGATGTAGCAGTGAGAGCTCCTGTGGGTTTTCATCCTGCATGGTAATTTCAGAATGGTGGGTTTCACCTTGAAACTACCTCGTTCATGTGGTGAGGAACTGATGTTTTTAAAAAGGAATTGTAATTTTTTTTATTTCCTTACAAATTGAGGAACTTGGAACATGCTCGTTTTGCACATGCATAGAAGGAATTAGATTTCTTTGATAAATTGCTTTCCAGTTAACAGTGTAATGGTCGCTCTGTGGTTTTTAACCTTTTTTTCTTTAAGGTGAGCATTGGAAGCCCGGAAAAAATGGAGCCCATTACAAAAGTTTCTCACATTCCCAGCAGCAGATGGGCACTGGTGTGCAGCCTTTGCAATGAAAAAGTTGGAGCTTCTATACAGGTAATTTAATTGCACAGATATCTGTGTGTTTTGTTTTGTCAGTTTTTAGTAGATACACAAAACTTGTATCTGCCATAAACTTTATTTGATTTCCTGTTTGCTACTATGGACTTAACTGTATAGAGTGCTGTCAATGTTAGCATGTTCTTATTGACTAGTCAGATTTGAATAATAATAGCCAGGTCATCTGTCTGCTAGTCCCTGTTTAGTGACTTCTAAGACAAGTTGGGTATTTCAATGGGAGTTGTGTATAAAGCAGTTGGTTTCACACCACCAACTCCCATTCTTGTGCCAGTGCCGGTTTGTCTCACTGCATACTTTTGAAATTCTCCAGTTTCAGTTGCATTTGGGTTCAGCCTTTCTCACCTTATCCTGTGAACTGTGGCTGTTAAATGATCTGCACCAGGGTATTTTCAGACCAGGCAGTGTCAGTTCACGTGCATATTTATATAGCCTGTAAAGTACTTGCATATCCTCTGCAGTGGAAGATCACTCAGAAATGTTAAATAATCATTTTAAGAACACTTTAAGAATCATTTTAGAATTAGATTGTGAAAACATATTGCCAAGCCCCAAGTTTTTGAAAGAGGAGATACTAGGTTTCTTGAAACACAAGACAAAACTTTGACCTAGCTTACTCACTACCATATGATGGGAGAGCATGAAGACAGGTGACCCACTCTGAAGAAGTAGAGCTCTGTCCATTGTGTTGTGGCTGGCCTTGCGTTGCAGGGTCCAGGGTGGTCAGACCGGCATTAAGACACAAAAGTCCTGCTCTTCTTTGAAATTAGGTTTTATCCATTTACTTTACCCCTCTGCTCTATCTGATAAGGTTACCAGCAAAAGCTGTAAACCAGCACTGCAGCAGTAGTTCCAGTGAAACCTATCAGTCCATTCTCATTTAAGTAATGTATAAAATAGTAAATGTTAAGTTAATAAATCCGTCCACAGCATATAAATTTGCAATCGCAATGCCTCCTTGGAGAGCTGCCCCTTCCTCTTGGCTGCTACTTGGTGGATGCTGTTTTGTCCATTCTGTGGGGTAACCCACGGTAGTTTAAGTTGAATGCTTGAGTGTTTACATATGTCAGTGTGGTATGGAGGGGGGTGTCCTTCCGTATTTGTTCTCCCTTTCTAGTGCTGACACAGGAGGACATGCGCAGACATGACAGCTGCCACTTCAGACAGCTCTGCATTTGAAATTATGGGGAAAGAGACAAAAAATGGCAGTCATGCCTGACATCTTACAGCAGTCGTGAAAATCTTTGGTATCGTTAAAGCTAGCAGTGAGAAATACATAGATTTGTGTTGTGAAATTTTATACAGCAGAGAATAATATTATACAGAGTGACTGCAATGGGGAGGAAGTAGCATTAACTGGAGAAACTAGGGGAGATGGGATTTTTCAGAGATGTTGGGAGATAGGCACAGCAAACAGAAAAGCTGGCAGCTGGAGTGTGTGTGAGGCTGGGCATGGAGCAACCGCAACAAGCTGGGAAAACTGAGACTGTATTCTCCCAGGTTCAGCAGATTTCCTTCTCATGAGACAGGCTTCCCCTTCTCTCAGTAAAACATCAGCCACACTAAGATAATTATTCTGAATGGGAGCAGCTTGGAAACCGTGGCTGGAGTATTCACCTGGACTGTGTGGTGTTCCAGCAGGGCTGCTTTTGCTCTGCTTGTTGGTAACAGGAAAGGGCAAAAGATGGGTTGGTATTTTTAAATTCCTTTTATACGTTGATTTTATTGAAGAATGTTCATTTGAAACTTTTGCACTTTAAATTCTCCTGTACCTTTATATGCCATCTGGCTGCTGAGTGAACCTGAGCAGGAAAATCCAGCAGAGAAAGATATTTGGCTTCTTTACAAAGCACTGTGTAAACATCCTTGTGCAGCGCATTTATTTCTCTTTAAGGTTAGATGACTTGGGTTAAGCATAGTTTTGTTTCCTCCTAGTTAATAGCACCAATGTTCATTTCCACTCTAAATTCTCTTCACTGGAGGCTGAGGTGTGGGTTGATACAACTGCATATGTATGCCTGTGGGTATATACGTACACATATATATTTAAACCTTTCAGTTGTGGCTGGTGATAGCTATGACAGCAGTTTGCAAGAAGAAGTTACATACAAATGAAGTGCTAAATCAGCTGAACTAGTGCCCATCACACCATGATGGCTGGGCTCATAGGGAGGGAAGAAAAAGGACAGAAAACGGAATTTCCTGTTTTCCTCATGTCCCAGATGAAGTGAAAGCTGCAGTCAGTGAAGTAGTGATTGACAGCAATTTAATATTTGACATTATAAAATTGGGATAATGGGAAGAAAACTGCCCTTGGTTGAGGCCTTTTGGGCAGCACAGGTCCCAGTGCTAGGAAGGACTTTTAATTAAAAGTATCAGACTGGCCTGGAGCCCCCAAGGTGTTTTTCCCTCTCTTGCTGGCACAGCCAAAGTGGAATGATTTCCTTTGTGTAATGCTGCCTCACATGTGTGCCCAGTGCTGGTGAGAAGGCTCATCTTGTGGATTTGCTGGTTATTGAATAGGGCGAGGGAGGGGTTAACCACTTATGTCCCACCGGGCCACTTCGTCCTTACCTAGCCTGAAAGCACAAAATCATAAGCCTAATTAAAAGAGAGCAAGGAACTACATGCAGCTTAAAGGAAGAGCACGGGTACAGAGCATTCCTGGCTGCATGAATAGGTTTAGGCAGTCTGGCTTCTTAAATTTGTGTTTGATGAATTTTAATTTAATTTGTGCAGTGTTCGGTGAAGAACTGCAGAACAGCCTTTCATGTTACCTGTGCATTTGACCGTGGCTTGAAGATGAAGACTATCCTGGCAGAGAATGATGAGGTGAAGTTTAAGTCATACTGTCCCACGCACAGTTCCACCAAGAAAGTGGATGAGGAGACTTTCAGTGAAAGCCCAGGTCAGGAGAATGGGATTGGGATTCAGGACGGCTCTCTTCCCGCCCACATTGACCCTTTCCACAGCATGACTCAAAACCAGGAGGAGGCCCACAGAGTCAGCCTCCGCAAACAGAAACTCCAGCAGCTGGAGGATGAGTTCTATACCTTTGTTGAGCCTGTGGAAGTGGCTAAAGTACTGCAGCTGCCAGAGGAGTCAGTGGAATTTGTTTACCAGTACTGGAAGCTGAAAAGAAAAGCCAACTTCAACAAGCCTTTGATTACTCCAAAGAAGGATGAAGAGGACAATCTGGCCAAACGAGAACAGGATGTTCTGTTCAGAAGACTGCAGCTCTTCACACACCTCCGGCAGGATCTAGAGCGGGTAAGGCATAGTACTGCCTGCACATGCTTAAGTGGCACTGCCCTTCATTAGCCAGGTTTCTAAATTACGTTTTCAGTTACTGCCCTTGCATGCAGGTACTTCATGCTGCATCCTCACACAAAGTGGTATTGTCAGAGAAGACCATGAACACTATATTTCTATGGAGCACACCAGTTACTCATTCCAAACAGAGGGTTAGTTCAGAGGCCAGCAAGTCTTGGTAGTAGTATCCAGTCTCCTTATAAGCACGGGATTGTTGTATTTCCACGTACCTGGAGCTTTTGTAGCCTTTAAGGGCTTTCTCTGTGCCTTTCATCTGTTGCACAAGCAGGAAAAGATTATGAACCTTACTTTGATTTGCAGCAGATTGGTGTTTTCATTGACATAGCATAGCATTAACACATACAGACACTGGACTGTCTGTGTAGTAGGTTTGGGAGGCGTGATACTGCACTCCAGTTTTCAGTGTTTAAAGAGCAATTTTGTGTTTTAAGTACATCTTATCTTTTAGTAACCTGAATTCCTTCCTCTTGGGGTTGTTTGGGTTAACCAGTAGAGTTTAAGATCAAATCAGTTTAAGTTTAGAGAACACTTAAGATCAGTTTTAAGTTTAGAGACAGAGTACTGAAATAATTCCAGCTTTTCACATCCATACAGTATGAGGCTCATGGAGACCATGTACAGGACCTGGCTCAGGGGCTCATAACTCAGCCACAGTAACCTGTGGGTGAACTGGAGCCTTTCTTCCAGAGTAATACCTAGCCTTTAAGTCAGGACAGTGGGTGTTCATGCATCTACTGCATTCTTTGTAAAGTCCCAGTGGTTAACTACTCTTCTAAGGAATCATTGCAATTTTACTTGGAAGTTTCTTCTCTAGTTTCAACTAGAAATGACCCATACTAGAAATGGCCTATGACCCTTCTCTAGTTTGGTGAAATGGCATCTCTTGTTTCTGCTGCATGCTCAAGGCTTCTTTTCATGTTCTCTTTGATCAGCTAAATAAGTTGAGATTGTCACTGTGTTCTGTGGATCTTAAATGGTTCTGTAGGTATACTTCCCATTTTTAAGTGCAATGTCAAAACAGGATACATCATTCGAGTAATATTTTACTACTCCATTGTTCCCTGTTGATTTTAATTGAAGTTATCTTGGACATACAGAAAAAAAAGTCTTTTTTTTTCCTCTTCAAGATAATCAAGTTACCCAAGTTTATGAGTGACATTACTGACAGCGTCATCTATCTAGAAACAGACTAAAATCATGTCATCCAGTTTATGGAAGAGGTACTTTGATGGACATGATGTATTTGTTGTGCAGCTGGGCTCAAACAAGGCAAAGAACAAAAGGCCAGGGACTGTCTCAGAAAGGGGACCAGACAGACAAATCCCTGCAAATTAAGATCCACAGAGTAATAACAGTTAGTTAAACATACTGGCTTGCATGGGACTGGAACCTTTAAACAGAGCAGGACCTCGGCACGCAAGGTTACACATCTCAGTGTCCCCTTCTCAGTGACTGTGAGACCAGCCTACAAGGCTGTAATGCACAGGGCACCATACTGCGGCTGCATCAGGATGAGCAAGGAGCCCTGGGAACACTCACATGGACCCCTCAGCAATTTCTTACACTAGGAGAGAAGGAGCAAATGAGCTCTAGGAGAATAATATCTCAATTAAATGGTATTTAAGACTCTTCTGTAAGAAATATGTTCAAGAAGGTTAAAATACAGGTACACTACTAACTTGTTTAAATGGTGTATAGTGCTTAAACTGAATTAAGTCAAAGAGCAGATTGACAACATTATAGAAACGCAATTTCTGTAAAACTCATAACTTGATGTCTTCTAGGTGCGTAATCTCACCTACATGGTGACCCGAAGGGAAAAAATCAAGAGATCTGTTTGCAAAGTTCAAGAACAGATATTTAATACTTACGCAAAGCAGCTGGAACAAGAAAGAGTTTCAGGTATGCTTCAGTGTTGTCTTTTTCACCTAAGACCACAGGTACAAGCATTGAAGGGTTTGGCTACAGGCTAATAGGTAATTCTGAAGGACAGTCAGGACCATGATCATTTATTCTCATTAAGATCTTGTGTAGTCCACCATGCTTCAGCAGACTGGGAGAGATGTGGGTGGGTGGGGCTCTAATAGTGGGCACATTGCTATAGGAACTGGTAGGTCTATGCCCTTGTCTTAAGGGGCACTGAGTGGCTCATGGCTTCAGCTTCTGTCTGGTGTGATTCTTCAATGACTCTTTGTGACAGGAAGACATGACCTAGGTACCGTATGGTACCTCCAGAGTCTCTGCTTTATTAATGCCACTACTTTAGTGAATTCACATTAGTGAATTTTGAAAAGGTAGCACTCTGGTTTTAAAACAAGATGCAGTTTTTTTTCTCATTGCCTTTTCTCAGAAAGATTAATATCCTCAAACTTAACTGCATTAACTAGATTATCATTAAAGTATTCAGTAATAATAAATCACATTTTAGGCAGAATCAATCGGATTCACTTGCTGGTTGCTTCCCTGCCCTGGAGTCTGTCTTAGCAGCTACAGTAGTGCTAGGATTTGTATTTGCTGGAAGTGTAACTGGATGCAGCACAGCTGCAGGAAAGCAAACTACACCAGCAGTATGTTGTGAAACCAAGACATAGCGACATAACTGTGGCCAAATACCCATTGATTGTCAAGAAACACACCAGGTTCTGGGAAGAACAGTGTTAAAATACGTATATGCAAAAGTGGTATTTACCCAGATGTGGAATTCCTTGACTTTAACTTACTTTGTTTACATGTAGGTGTGCCTTCCTCATTCTCCTCCATGGACAATACAGTGCTGTTCAACAGTCCATCTTTGGGCCCCAGTGTCCCTAAGATAGAGGATCTGAAATGGCATTCTGCATTCTTCAGGAAACAGATGGGCACATCCCTAACTCATTCCTTGAAAAAGTCACACAAGAGGGACGGAGTAAGGGAGAGCTTGGGGAATGACAGCAAAGCCATTCTGAGGCAGCCCGGCCAAAAAGAGGGCAGTGCAGCTCCAGGGAGCTTTTTACATTTTGACAAGACCTGTGCAGAAACACGGATTGCATCAGCACAGCAGAAAAATAGCGTAGTTATACCAGACCATAGAAAAAGCCAAGACAATCGTTCACAGTGTGAGGTGACCAAGGCAGAACTAAAAGAAAAGACTTCTAAACACAACCACAAACCACTGAGACCTACAGAACTCTCTCAGAGGCAATCAGAAAATAAAAGGGCTGTGAACCACTCCAGTGGTAGGTCAGCACCTGGCATGCGGAGGGATATAGTGCCTAAATGCAACGGGGGTCTTGTGAAAGTAAACTCTAACCAGACAGCTGCAGTTCAAGTGCCTATGACACCCACGAGCCCAGTGAAAAACTGGGGTGGATTCCGAATTCCAAAGAAGGGGGAAAGGCAACAGCAGGGTGAGAGCCTAGAGGAGACCTGCCGCCAGAGCTCCAGCTACCCCTACTTGGGCAGAGTTTCCCCGAAGGACAGAGCAAAAAGCAAGCTCAAGCCCGACAGTGAGAATGATGGGTATATCCCTGATGCCGAAATGAGTGACTCAGAGACTGAAGTGGCTGAAAAGAAGTGCCGGCAGCAGAGGCTCAGTCCAAACAACACTATGAGCAGAAGGACAGACATTATCAGGAGAAGCATTCTGGCATCCTGACTGGACACAGGGACACAGAGTCACTGCCTACAAGCCAACTCCATATTATTTATTGATTTTTGAAAAAGAAGAATTAGACTGATGATGACCTGTTATTCCTGAGCTACATAAACATGTTTACATGCACTTAAAGCTGTTTTTTTTCCGTCTCTCATTCTTTGAGAAGTTTGAATCTCCTTTATTTGCAACTATCCTGAGTAAGCAAAGGAATGATGGGATTTGTGATGAACACTGAAGTCACAGAAACCTTTTAAAAGAGGCTAGGGTGGGTAGGGGGCAGTAGGCTGCATTCATCCCTTTTAGCTAAAAAGCATTGATAAAATTTTACTTCCTTCCCCTGCCTTCTGGAAAAGCACAAGCTCTTAATTTATAAGTAGCGTGTACTGAATGGAAGATGGTTGTTTAACCATACTGCACTGCTAAATATCTCATTACAAATGGTCACTTTTACCTTGGGTGGTGGTAGTCTTTCTCCTCTCTTTGCAGATGTTTCCTGTTGCATTCAGTTTCAGCAGAGGTGGCAGCTCAGACCTGTCTGAAAGCTCCAGAGTTTACATGTACATATACCTATGAGGTGACCAGATTTAACCATGCTGTTATGCTGGAGGAGGAGGAAGGGACTGGTCAGGGCTGCAGCTGTATTACACTGCAGCAGCTGGGAAAGATGCAGACTGAGCACGAGGACGCTCTCAAAATGGCTCAGTTCTGAGAAGGGAACCGGTGGGAAGCTTGTGGGTTACAGCACCCCATGAAATAACCCACCATCATTTAGTCAGTCACCTGCCTCTGTGAGTATGGTGACAACTCCAGAGAGAAATTTCAAAGGCACTAGTTTGTAGGATTTCCCAAAGTCCACTGCAGACGCACTAATGGTACGTACTGGGAAAGTCAGGCTTAGGATGCTAAAGGGTTGCTTTAAAATGGACATGAATATATATTTTTAAATAGAATAAAATGGAAAGGCAATAAATTGTGATTAGCTCTTTACAGTCAAATGAAGAAAAACTACTTCATTCTATTCTGGACTAGATTTGATGGAAGAAGGATCTCGTATTCTGGTTGTATACTTTTTTAGTAATTGCAGATGGCAATAACTGGTAAGCTAGGAGCAATAATATCAACAGATCATTAGGGTACTGTTGGGCCAAGTAGAGTGCACATCTAACTAGTGTGTTCGGAGCCTCCAAGTTTTGGAATTCTGTATAGCTGCAAGTCAGGTATGTACTGGTGAAAAAGCTGAAGCAGCAGTGTGTTACACAAAGGCATTAAAAAACCCCTCCTTTCCTACTCCTAGTCTGCTCTTACATCCCCTCACTTTTTAGTGTTAGACCCTTGCTTCCTGAGTAGGAGACATTTAAAGCCCAGCAGAACTCTGCCATAAATGAGTCTTCCAGAGGATTCAATCAAACAAGGCTTATTAACACCCTGTCTTGCTATGCAAGTTATCGCTTAATGAAGTATTTCAACTGAACATATCCCTATCAATAGTTTCACAACTCCAAAGTCTTACCCTATAGAGGGAGGGGGATTGTGCATAAGATAGTGTACTTTTAAAACAGATTGCTGGTCCCAAGAAGTTAGGTGAATGTCAGGACTTCCAGAGGTGAAAGTCAGACAGGGCACTGGAGAATCTGAAGTTAGAGTTATTCTTGTGATGTGTTAAAAGTACTTACTTGATCGACCATCACCAGACAGACAACAGGTGAATGCAGGTAGGTTCTGCTCAACATGCAAGGTTTTCCAAACAGGCGCTGTGCTTTTCTGTAATAACAAAGCTTGTACCCATATATGGAATAGTTTGTTAAGCCATAGAAGGAGTCTAAATTTCGATGCTTAAGTAAACATCTAAATTTTGATGCTTAATAAACATTTAACCTCGCACCAGATTGAAGGAGTTACCTTGTTAATTTGCACTATGATGAACGCTAAGGTTGTGCAGAATTAATGCCTTACCTGTTCTGCTACCTGCTGTTTAGGTTAATAAGCTTTCTAACTTTTGAAGTTAAATTGAACCAAAACCAAAAACCTGTAGGACTGCAGGATGCTCAGCTCTGTACGTTAGGTTTGTCCCCCATGCTTCACTGTCAGCAGAGGAGGTGTTGGAAGTACAGCAGTGACAGTACAAACCTGCCCCATCTTTTATTGTGATAGAACCATTTGCTGCATTTCTGTTTTTATAAGCATTTCCTTCTCTTGTGCAGACTGACCAACAGATCTTTGACTATGATTGGTGTATTTTGTCCAACTGTAGGTTAGTTGAAATTCTGTCAAGTTGCCTGGAATGCCATTTGTTAGGCTGCAGACTCACACAGACCTAAATGAAGGGTTACCCGTGTTGTGTATAAATATTAATTTCAGAGATTTGAGAAGATTTGTCATTACATTTGTAAAATCTTGTACAGAAGATTTTTCACTATGTGCCTAGCTTTGGTGTTCATTCAGCTGAAATTAAATAAGAAAGGTGCATGAAGAGAAACAGAAATAAAAAGTATATGTAGAGATGACTATTTTATATTACATGGCCCACTCTGTATTTATTTTCTCCCTTTTTTGAAGTATTTATAAAGACCTAGTTGAAGACAGCTGTTATTTTTTGTTAGAATATTCAGTAGACTTGTGCCTTTTTGTCTGTATGTGAATAAATGCTGTACATTTTTGCAGTATCCTTGCCCAGTGTTTTAGAATTCACAGTAGTTGTGTTTGAGGTTTTACATAAACACTGTGATGATACGAAAAGCTCTCATAGTTAACACCAGCATTTAATTTGGATTATTACAGCTATTAAAATGCAAAGAAAGGGGGTGGTTTTTTTTTTGGCTTTTTTGCCTTTTTTTAGGAAAAGAATTTTGTTACTAGCAGCTGTGCTTGTTCCATCAACAGAAGATTGTCTGATTTTTTCCTTGAAATCCTCAAAGAGCTGTTGCTTACCTCAGATAGTTTAGTTGTTGATGTCTGATGTCCTTCCAACATCCATCATCTTCATACGTATCCCACTGAACAGGAACCTGAAGTTTCTGACCTGGAGCTCTTCAGGATTAGTGTGCTGAATGTACATTCACTCTATGAACTGCCTCTAGTCAAGCAACACCGACAGAATGTTTGCTGCTGCAGCAGGATCTTGAGGAGACAAAGTATGCAGGGCTTCCTCTAAACTCAAGCATGGAACAGACTTGCAGCAGAGCAAGTAAAGTGAAAGACTGCAAAGGCGTATGCCTAGTAATACATCCTGAAAACCAGCTGTGGGCAAGTAATTTTTCTCAGATCTGTACTTGTATCACATGCACTCCCATTGCAGGCACTGCGAGTGGCACCCCTCAATACATTTCATAGAATGAGGATTAAAGAATGACTCCACGAGGGGTTACTAGTACAAGCTTATCAAGGTGTGGATGAGTCTGAAAGATGTTCTGGCAGCTGCTGTATGGATACTGCTGACAGCAGCCTTTCTGAAAGGCACTGTGCTGCTGGGGTGACACGAGTAAGGCTGGGTCAGGCCTGAGGACAAGCTCTGGCTTGGTGCAGGAAGGTACAAGGCATTTGTGAAGACCTTCAGTTTATCTCACCTGTCAGTTTATCATCTCACCTATTCCCTAGAATCATCTCAACTATTTCCCTAGAAAATTTTCTTACACATAGTCAAGAACAAAATTTTACTCAAGGGAAACAATATCACACTAGAGAATGTTTAAAATGCTTAGAAACTGGTGTTGAGTGGAAAAGTGAAAACTTCAGTGACAGAGTGACAAGAAATATACAGATAGAAACAAATGTAAAAGAACCAAGACAGATACTGCACAATTACCTGAAACAACCTAATATCATAGGGGAAAGAGCAGGACTTCCCTAATAAGCAAACCTCAGATTTTACTTCCCTCAGCAGGTGCCTTTCCAAATCCAGCTTGTGAGCCACATGCCAGCAGCCTCCTCTAGAAGCTAAACAGAAATGAGAGGTGGTGGTGGCTGACCAACTTCATTTGGCCACAGTCCCTTTTGTGGTTTGGACAGAAGTATTTGGTCAGTTTTTAGCTTCTTAGAGGGATTAGGCAGAGAGGAGGGCAATCTTTTTCTTTCTTGTGTCCTCTGCCATAATTCTGCTGCCCCTCGACTATTAAGTGCTTGTGTCATCACTGCGTTTTGTATTTTGGCAAGTAACCATTACACAAAAACTAGACCACAAGTTGAAATGAATACACCCGTAACTAAAAGGGAATGAAATAGATTCCTTCTGTGCTTCAAGGAACAAATGCACAAATAATGTTGCTCAAAAACTTACCTGCCATTTCGAGCTGGGTTTCACTTCCCAGCTAGAGCCTCTATTGAAGGTGTGATGGGATGAACAGCTCACACAAACCCTTCCAGATGGGCTGTCATTTCAGATGTGCATTATGCAAATGGTAAAAAAAAAGGTGGTTGGTATCACACAGACGGTTGATTGATGACAGTCTCACTGCAACAGACATTTGGAGTTTCCAGACAATGTGTCCATGTTGCTTTGAAAAATCTTGGAAGTCTTTAAGCAGAATTATAGATTGCAGTTGATACAGGTACAGGTACCAAACTGACAAAGCACTAGGAAAGAAGTGTGTACAACTGCAGGACAAGGTAACGTTCTCTGTGGAAAGCAGAAATTATTCTTGAGGTTGCATCCATTTTGCAGGCCCTACTGAAACAGCAGGTTTTCAGGAGGTGGCACCAACTCTAACCTTCATGTGATGAACAACCTGTGTTTGTCCTCTAAAATGTGAATGGTGAAGATCCACTGTGACAGATGCATGGGTTAGTCCCACAAAACAGCTTTTGTGAAGCCCTGGGTAAGCATTATCTACCAACTGAATTAGAAGTTACAAACCAGAATTACACTCTTCACGTTTAAGAGGAAAGAACAAGAAACTACATTACTTCAAAATCAGCACCTATCAAATGTTTATAATATATGCTGAAAGAGAAAACAGAGTTCAGCTCTCATTTTAGAATGTTACTTACGAAGTTTCTCAACTACCAAAGAAAAATACGTGCGCAAGAGGATTACCACATACTGGCATTTCTAGAATTTAAATACACCATTTCAGAATGCACAGAAGCTGGAAGACTTCACCAGCTTTGTGCTGATTGAAGTAACAGAGCACTCAAGTTCCCAGACAAGGAGAGCAGACTAATGGACAAACAAGGAACAACTGTAAAATAGTAATGAGCAGGAAAAAACACAACTGAAGAAAGATATGGTCTGAACAGCATTTTATTTACAAACTTTTTCAAAGAGGCATAAAACCAAACTGAACCAAAATCTTAACACTGGAAGGTAAGGAAGGCATTTCGCAGCTACATTTAAGTCCTTTAAATGACATTTTGTGGTATTCTTCCAATCTTTAGTATGCCTACAGATAGAGTATCTTGATCCACCCCTTTCTTACCTAAATAAACTAGGAAATGTTTATTTAAACATTTAGATAAAACATTAAGAATGGTTTAGATTTAGATCTAATCATTTAGGTTAAACATTAGAACTTAAAATCTAAGTTTTTACAAGCCTTGCTATGCATTTGGGCACCTCTTTGAAGGAGGGACATTCCACAGGCCTCCTGTCCAAGCTGGATGGGGCTTGGAGCAACCTGATGTAGTGGAAGGTGACCCTGCCCGTAGCAGGGAGTTAGAACAAGATAGCTTTTAAGGTCTCTTCCAACCCAAATTGTTCTATGATGACTTCAGTGCTTCAATATGAAGTTTCTCCATCAATCTTCTTACCTCCAACATGGTGTGAAGAAACAATGCAGGTGTTTACATATCTTCCACCTCCTTCAGGGGAGCAGCTTTTTTCTTCTGTGCTGTTATGAGGCTGAGCTGTAACTACAACCCACCAGACAGTTTTGTATGTAAGTTTTTGTAAGATCAAAGTATCAATATATCTTCAGTACAGAAGGCGTCATGAAGGAGAGGGAAAAAGTACAGGTAAGTGGGCATTTGGGGAAAGCAGCAGAATTCACAATGCACTCCATAGATGACTACTGCTTTTGTTTTATTTGAGATCCCAAAGAATTCAAGATTATCAAAGATTAGGAAAAGTACACTTTCAATACATCTACATAGAATACACAAAGTTTAAACCTGTGCAAACATTAGCCTGTATTTTTTATGTTTCCTACTGAATTACTATTATTAATGATTACTATTACTAATAAGCTAAGATTATATATATAATATTATGTATATATAATAATTACTATTACTAATAAGCTAGGATTACTATTCTTTGTAGTCACTGAACTAACCACGATAAAAAATCAATTTCTAGACTCCCTAATAGTGCAGCTCTAGCCTACACTGGATCTAATTTTACAGGTAAGCTGGATACTGTAATGAGAATAGGCAAGTCAGAAAGTAGTCCTCAACTGACAGGTTCAGAATACAGAGAGGATCTACCATTCTGAATCTCAGGAAATACATGCGTAACTGTTTAGTCTTATGAGAGCTAAAAGAGAACAAACACCTCCTTTCAGATCCAAAAGAGTGGACATGCTTTTAGCTCTACTCCTGGAGAACTCTTTTCCCAGCCTTTAGTGGGAACAGTGCTGGTATGTCTTTTCTGGGGTGGGTTCAGGGGAAGAGGAAGGAGCTTGGCACAGAAGTCTTTCAGTCATTACAGAGAAGCTTTGCCTGAGAGCAGGCAGCAGTAACCTCTGCCAAGCCTGAAGAGGGCAAGGCAGTTCTGAAGACTGGTAGCAAGATCCAGGCAACAATTTGGCTGCTAAACATCTTACAAATCTCTTTGTTACCTTTCAGAAGGAGACCGCTAAGGAATAGTTAATTATCAAGGTTTTCAGGAACAGCAAGATCTCTTCTTACATCACCAGCTGACCTTGTTATGACAGAGAACATCTACAGCCAGTAAACGCACCTTAAGTTATGACAGTTTGGCAGATACTCGCTGCTGTTAGGGAAAATTTGCCTTTTGTCCTAACTAGACAATTTGGATCTACCAAGCATATTTTGTCTGCAGCTCACATGGGATTCCCTTCCCTTAAAAGGCTGTAATTTGCAAATAAGTTTCCTAAGTCACTGTAAAAAAAAAAAAAAAAAAAAATCAAAAAAAAACCCCAAACCAAACCAGGAGGCAGGAAGACCACATTTACTTAACAGGAGACCAACCCGAGTTACAAGTTTGCTTGGCAAATAAGTGAGCCCAGTGTACAACCCCCTTGTGGGATTTGCTTCAAGTATAGCTTGAATAGCATGGAAAAAGAATGCTGGATGTGGAAAAAACCTACCAAATGTCCAGCAGAGGAAATACAGAATTATAGTAGTATGAGGTTTAGATAATTAAAGACCAAAGTTTCTCTCTGAGGAGAAGAAGACTTTTCATTCCAATATCCCTAATGTCTAGAAATACTGACCAGTATTGCTCAAACAGAGTTGTAAGAGAACTGAAAAAAGAAGGCAGCAACAGTTCGGCTCATTAAGTGATCACAGTGATGCCACAAGGAGGATGTGGGCATATAAATGGCCCTAACAGACATGTCTTGTCTGAAGGTTTTGGAATTACTGAAACATGGACTAGGCATGTTCACTATGGCAGTGAGATACATAGAACATCCCCTTTCTTCTCCTGGCCTAGAAAAAAAACAAGTTTTTTCTAGTTGGTCTGCACAACTTTCAGTATTTTTGACATTAAGTGCAAGAGATCTTGCACTTACTGTAGGTAGCTGACGCTGACTGCAGTGAGATGTACTCCTCCAACAATCTCTGGGGCCACAGCTACTGGAGACTACTAATGGAAATGCAGGTGCACAGACAAGATAATTCTGAAGTTTACATGATGCAGGCTGCAATTTGATGAACACTGAACTTGTCAGCCTGCAACTATTTCACACTGTTTCCATGCACTCTTTGTGCAGCCACACAATGAATTAGACCATTGAACTTATCTGGCTGAAAAAAGCAGAGAATTCCCACAAAACAGCTATGCTGCCTCCCAATTTTTATAAAGGCAGTTCTGTAGCCATCAACCCAAGGCATGCTTTGCTTTGTATCAGACTCCCAAGAGACAAGTGTAGACATCAGTGCAACATTTGCTCTTTAGCACGTGAAACCATCATTTGTGACTGCTGCAGTAGGTAAGCCTGCTTTATGTAAGCAGGAGCTGGGTTATTTGTCAGAGGTTTTATTCCTCTTTGTTAATTTGCTCCCATTTCTGAAGATGGAAATGATCATACACCTTCATTCACACATTTTGAACTACACAAGCTTAATTTGCATCAAATTTGTTTCCATAAACAAATTATACTGTCACTTAAACATCCTGTCAGAAGGTGGCATTTAATTGAATATGCATCAGTTTTGTCATGATGCACCCAAAACACAAGCTTGTTGTTAAAACTGTATTAGTAAGAATGCACATAAATGATCACGTCTGCTTCAGGAATAATACAAAATGGTTATTTTTGTAATATTCAGTGGAAAGATTTAAATGCACTTGGGTAACATGGTGTTTATTTGTTCTGTACCTTTTGAGTTGCCGTAGCTGCCCTCTGTTCTGCCTGGTTTAGACGCTTTTGAAGCCTATTGATGTATTCTCGATATTCCCTCATTAATTTTTCATCCTGTGGAATTGAAATACCTCATTACAAATGCAAAGTTCTTTTTACGGGATCCATACATACTGCAGTGAAGAAGCTTAGAACAAGAGTAACCTCACAAGTGGAACTGTTCACCACTTACAAGACGTCAGACATACAGCTGAAACATTATATAAAGAATTTCCAGCCCAAGTATCATATCCTATGACTTTTCCAAACATAGTGATCTGCAGAGAAAGTTTTACTCACTCCACCATGTTGAAGATGCATAAAAGCTGATATTTTAATCCAGGTAATTTAATTCACAATATCTTAAAATGTGTTTTATTTAGCTATACTTCAACTATACTCAAACAGACAAAGACTACACTAGGTAATACTAATGAGATAATAAACTTGATACAGATATGTTCTCTTCAGCAAAGGGTCTGTATAAAGTCTTCCAGAACTATATTTTACTTACAAAAATCTATCCTTGCATCAGCCCCATTTTTCTTCTCTAAATAATCTAGCATTACAAAAAACAACACTGGAGGATTTACCCTGATTAGAACTGCATGTTATCCCAGATTTATGAGGCTGACAGGATAGCTGTTTTCTAAAGTGGCCATTATTTACTGAACAATGCAATTCCAAGACAACCCTGCCATTAATCTTTAATGGATACCGCTATATACATATATGCACATACAGTGTAAATTCTACTATAGACATAGTATGCTGAGAATGTGGTATCTCTGCATATACTACATTATCCACAACACAGTGCCTTCTCCTTTGTAGAGGTATGTGTGCATAGACAGGCAAAATGACTTTGCAGATATTTCCTGTACTGTCTAAAACTGCCAGATTATGAACCCTGAAAAATGATCGCCTCTTTATCTTTCCTTGTAATTTGAGAGTGAAGGTCATTTGACCTCCTGCAATTTGAACATGTCAGTTGGCAGAAAGAGCAGGGGTTTCCTATTATGACTACTTCTGTCAAAAATCCTTAGTTTTTAACAAGCCAACAACATAGCTCACCTCAATAGGTTTCTGTTATTATCCTAATGTACATGCACCAGCTTGCAACTGAAAGTATTTGTCATATCAGTCAATCTTACCTCGGTTGCCTTTTCATTTGCAACTTCCAGTTGAGAAATGAGCTCCTGGTTACAAATTTTTTGTTGACTTAGCTCTCTTCTATTAATCAAAAGTAAAGATGTTGATTAACACACATTAGGGCATCAGTTATTGGAATATAATTTCATATGTTACTTTCTTGCAGTTTAGGCCTTATGGTATATTTTTAATTACAGAATTGCTCTTAAAACATTGATTTCAAAAGCACTACACAGCTAGAATTGCTTCACGATGAGATTCAAAACTATAATGCCAGAGGAATGGGATGTATTCAATACAACTTTGTCAAGAGCATTTGACATTTTACTTTTTCTTTACTGAATCTTCTTTTGCAAGAACATTACCAAATATATTGTAAATATAAGGTACGTTACAAGAGTGCATCCAATATTTAGAGCAACATGTTAATTACTGTCCTATAAGCAGACTTCAGTACGGACATTATTGAAGGTGGCCAGCCTGTCTGCCTCACACTGAACACATATTGAAAGAAACCAGTTTAACCGTATCTACATAAGGAAGTGTGAATGCTACTGAGCCAGTTGATTCATACTGATTGTTAACTGTCCCCCAATCATGAGACTTTAAAATTAAAATTAAGCAGTAACCCCAACTGCTGAATAATCACATCAGGCCCTACTCCATATTGTTTTTATTATGTGAGTAGGAAACAAAAGGTGAGCTTTTAGCATTCTGGCAGACAGGTGATAAATCCGTCAGCTGTATCAAGTACGTTCTGCAAAGCTCTCATATAACATATATGACATGTGCCAGCTGTTTTTTCAGTTGAATTATACTATGCTTCAGTTACTCTTAGTAATGATGAATTTTGTATACTGCCAGTACCTGCAGCTGTCTCTCATCCTGTTAATTTTTTTCTTTAAATGAACATCTTAAAATAAGCAGCTATAGCTGCCAAACATTACAGAAGTATAGCCAAGAATAACGTATTAGAAATGGAAGAAACTTCTTCATCTCAAGATGCTGTGCAACTCAGTGTATTGTACAGGATGTTGGGAGGAGAAGGCGGCCGTGCTGGCCAGCACTTCATGCACAGGCACCAAAAAAGGTCATCCTTCAGAGGCAGATTCTTTTCACTTATGGAAGAGATAAAACTGAGAACTCCAAAACCCACACACGGCTACTGCTGAGTCAGGGACTAAATGTGACAGAAATGTTTCACAAGCAGAAACTAGAACAAAAAAACCCTAAACAGCTGCAAAGATGACATAAGCTAAGCAAAAGATTGATTTAAATTTAAAAGCAAGGGGGCAAGGATTCCCTTTTTGTAAGTACTGACAATCATAATTTAAGTGAAAATAAAAAGAACCCCAAAGTCATTCAGTCTAGTTGGTTCAAACATAATGGATTCATGTTACCACAAACATTTTGAATTTCCCCCCCAAAAAAATAGTTCTATCTTACTGCTAGGGAACAGTGGCACATGGGTAAGATTGTTACTTTACTGATTTACTCATACCACGGACTAGTACTCAATTTTATTACTTTTTTATTAAAGAGTTAAGATTTCAGAAGCTCCTCAAATGCTTTGTTACATGGAATTAACTTCTATTTAGTCTCTTTCTCATTTAAGCCTACATTTATAAATTTTCTTGGGTACTGTTTGTTTTGTAAATTTAGTTTCTATTCCTAAAAAGAGAACAGACTTCTCTTACTACCCCTACTCAGGCTAAAATGTACCTTAGTTGAGCAACCACCCACAGGTCTAACAGGGCAAAGTAATATTCACAGCAAAGTTGACAGAACTGTCAATTTCCTGTAAAGTTTTCAAGTTTCAAGGATCTACCTTTTTCCCATCTGCAGTTTTCCAGGTCTACTCTACCCAAGAGCATTTTGTGGATAATTCAGTTATTTGATTGAATATGAGACTTGGCTTATCCATGTGAATCTGGTTCTGATCCTTGGTACAACCAGAATCATGTTCAACAAAAAGATGCTCTTGGTGTTGGCTACAGGTGAAGAGTTTGGTAAGGGCTTAATGTATAACCACTGGTTACGGGCAAAATCCTCTCTCAATTGCCCCGGTTCTTCCCTTCATTCTCAGGATTAAAACATAGAGATACATGAAAAATACTAATATGCCAATTCAAAAGGATTAACCATCTATTACCACCCGTATTGCAACCTCTTTCCTGTTTAGTTGTTTAACCTACTGACATACAGATGAGTCAAAGTGGACTTTACAGAATGAATGATTTGCCCTTATATTTAAATCTGCATAGAGTCTTTTACATTTTCTTTTAGTAAATGCTGGCCCATGCGATTACCCTGTTTTTTGCTTAAATAGTGTTGTCAGAACTCTTTCTCACCCCTTCTCAATCTATCCTGTATTCTTTTGCTACTGAGGTTTGTTTCCTTTCAATTTAAAAATTTCCTAAATGTTCCTTTGGTTTTGTTGATTTCACTTTCTCTCTGTGCTCTCATTTACTCAGCTGAAATCTGAAGAACTATATCGCTTTATATATGATTCTGTAAAGGTAACAAGAACAGTCCTACCCAGTCTCTTCCTCCCAAATACAGCCACAGGAATAAATTTTCTAGATTACAGTACTTGAGTGAAAGCAAGAGCCTTTAAAAATATATGCATGTATTTCTCAATTATTTCAAAAGTAAATTCTTTCCAATGACAAGAAATGTAAAATAAGCTGCAAACAGTACTGATTTTTTTTAAAATTTTTTTTACCACAGCTGTCAAAGGCAGATCACCTACATCCTTTGAAGTTTTAGGACATTCAAAATGACAGTGATCTAAGAGCTTACAACTTCACAACTGGAAGCTTTACAACCTGTAAATCAGCACCAGAAATGTGGATGGCATGTATCTCATCAAATTCACACAGATTTGCGAGGAAGTGACACTGAAGATAACTTATTCAACATTAAATCTAAATCTGATTTGGTTATTTAGATGACCTCAATAACGTTCCAGATAGAGGGGGAGAAAAAGAAATGGAAACTCAAGTATGTGTCAGTTACTAATTCATGAACTATATAGTTGTTAAATTATTCACTAAGATTTAAAAGCTCTTTCTGTGTTATGAAAAAAATTACCCTGAGAAATTTACTAAATTTATAGAATTTCTGTACTTCTCTCCTTACTATTTTCCATTTAAACCCTTAAATGAATGTGAAAGATTATTTTTTGCGTCTCAGAAGCTCACTTCATTCTACTTATTATTCCTAGTCAGAACTGAACTGGTGGTTCAATCTCAGACCCTTGCAGAGATACAACTATTAAAATACAAGCCTGTTGAAACACAGCAAGTAACCAAACCAATTCAACTAAAATTAAATGTTAATATGCAGTTTTGTCTCCAAATCCACATTTCTGTCCTTTGGTATTGAGGTGGCTTGACCCAGATGGCAGGTGAGCCCTCACCCCCTCACTCACTCTCTCCCCCGCCAGAGGACAGGGGGAGAGAACTGGAATGGTACCTGTGAGGAAATTACTCATGGGCCACAAGAATGACAGTAAGTAAAGGGGAAAAAAAGGATGCAAAAGCAATCAGTCCTCACCAGCAGAGCAATAGCAAGCCAGTATGAACACAACAGCTACCTTGAAGCACTTCCACCCAGTTTTACTGGTGAACATGACATCATATGGTGTGGGATATCCCTTTGGTCAGCTGGGGTCAGCTATCCCACTATGTCCCCTCCCAGCATCTTGCCTACCACTACCCTCCTTGCTGGGGGAGCACAGTGAGAAACAGAAAAGGGCTTGACCCTTTATTAGCACTGTTCAGCAGCAGCTAAAACATCACTGTTATTGACACTACTATGGTCACAGACCTAAACCATGGCATGCACTACAGAGGTTGCTATAAAGAAAATGAACTCCATCCCAGTCAAACCCCACACAGGTCTTCAAGAAGTATTAAATTCACCTTGATTTAAAATACAAAATTCCCCTCAAATTAATCGGACAGTAATGATTTCTATATGTGTTCATAAACACATATAACCAGTTCTAGATTTTTTTACATACATGCACACTCTTACAGAGGGAAACAGCCTAAATTCAGTAGAAAAACCTTGGGGCAACCCATCTTTAAATAAGTGCTACACTACCTTTTTTACAACCTTTAACAGCAATCACTCATTTAAATAACTATTTTATAATTGTAAATATTTGCTATCTCAGTTCACTTCAGTAAATGTCATTAGAACTTACAGTACATCTAAAATGGATGCAACCAAAACCCAGAACAGCTTCGTTTCATGCTCCACCAGACCAGATGCTTTGCAGGAATAAACAGAATAAACATTAGTCAGGAGGTATTAGCCATGCTGCCAAGAGCAACATTTTTCTTTGGAATGAGTACCTATGTTGCAAGAAGCTCTGACCTTCTTTAGTTACCTTCAAGGTTGACTTTCAGCGCAAGTATATTGAAGCAAAACTGGTTCCTTGCCCTCTTGCAAGGTGAAGGTGAGGTCTACTACCAATAAATCCTCTTAAGATGCTTAGAGGGAAGAAACCTGTTCTCATAAATGAAGACTGCAATGTATTTTTTATGAAGAAAATGGTGGAATTTAGTCTACAAGTATTCAATGCACTGCCAAGCATTGTTTTTTAATTTCAAGTTCAGTCTTACAGGCAATGATTATGTGTTTGATTTGAACTGTGACCCAGAGATCCAAGAAAGCACAGAATAATTTTCAGTGAAGCCTAAAAGGATCAATTTATTTTTCAACATTACCTACAGCTTTTTCACTTATCTACTACATTCTTGTATTATTAAAAGAAATAAGAAACTCATCACTCTGCAGCTACAGGTTGCAAAATTTGCTTTTCCTTCTTATGCCTTCTTCCTTTATTTAATTAAAAAAAATCACCTAACACTCCCTGATGTTGCTTCAGTTCTTAGAATTATTTATTTAATGCTTCCTTTATGCATCGGATTACACCTCACAAAACAAAACACTGCAGACTTAAAAGATGACAAAAGAGAAGCACAGAATATGTGAAAGTTAGCTGCCGCTGCTGGGAAGTTCATAAAGAAGCCAAAAGGTTTCAGACACCTTCACTTGGAAAAAGAAAGTAATGAGGATAGAAGTGAAAACCAGCAAGAGATCACGACTTTAAGCCAAAAGAATGGGAAACAACTACAGTAACAAACAAGACACTGACTCAATGCTTATGAGAGCTGCACTAACTGAAAACTTTTGGTGAAGCGCAATATAAAATGTTTTATGTAAACTACCACCCCAGTATACCCATATATGACTTTTTTAGGAAGTTTATGATTTCCTGAAAAACCTTCACTTATAAAGTGCATTACTATGCCAACAGTAACAGCTTCCAGAAAAGGAACAAAATTGCACTTACTCTAGCTTTCTGATCCTGGCTTCTGTAGTTTCAGTAATTTTGTTTGTTTCTTCTTTCCATCGATTTGTTGCTTTTTGCTGGGCTAATAACAGACATGTAAGTTCAGCAGTAGACTTCTGACTGCTGTCTTCCATTTCCTTAAGTCGAGCTTCATACCCATGTTCTCTCACATCACGCTCATGCTCCATTGTGCTTATCTAGAAGAAATACAATTCGGGCACAATCAAGTCTCTAACTTTTTTCTTCCCAACACTTAAGTTCAATTTATAAACATCTGTTGAAAGCATGTAACAGAATAATTAAACGTATAATTATATGCTCAAAGGCATACATGCTCCCAAGGCCAATTCAAGCAAATAGTGTAACTGACAATGAACGATAATGAGCCGTGTATGCTTATTTTTGGAAATAATCTTTATCCTTCTCCCTTGAGTTTTCTTCAAAGAAACACATTCTTTCTTTTTCATCTAGCTAAAATGTATCAGGAATTTCTTAACTGCATCTAAAATCCTTCGTATGTCACAGGAAAATGAAAACAATAAATCTTATCTGTGACTATAATGGAAGCCTGTCTTGATTATAAAAAGACAAAGATCTGGTATATGTTTTATAACTGCCACAAGACTGTTAAAACTGTTTGTAACTATTACAAAACTGATTCTTTGCTTTTAAACTACATTTGACTTCAGGGTTCTGGAGCTGTAGCAACATTCCCTATTTAATTTGTCTGCTTCCTTTATCTTGTGGTACAAAGTGGAAACCAGACTTGAGATGATCCCCACTCATAACTTGTAAAACTGCTTACCATAGTCTTCTTAATTGCTGCAGGTTCTTACATCCCTCTGCAATATCTTTACACTTATGCAGTTAAGAGCAGAGGGGAAACTACTAGCTCTGTATGTCTAGAAAGCACACCAAGGTTAAAAGCTGTTATTCACTCTAGAAGCTAAAGGTACAATGAATCTGCTGAGCTTACTATTAATTCATTCTAGCACCAGCAGTCTATTCAGGTGCATTTAATGGAACACATTCAAAAAGAATAATCTTTCAGGTAATTATCTTGTTTGCAACTATTCATAAAGAAGAATGTTCTCTGTTCAGAAAATACAGGGCCAATGTTTGACAACCACAGTATTAAATTATTTATTAGCTGCACACTGCACTAACAATATGGTGGACATACAAATAGAGGAACACTCTAGACTGAAAGTCATACAGAGATTCATAACACATTACAGACAGATAAATGAAGATCTGGAATTGGTGTAAATGAAATCACTTGAAGGGTTATTATTTAATTATGATATTATTTAATCTTATCATCTTAAACAAAGAACATTTGGGATCTTCTTATACATATTAAACCAAAATTTAATTGGCAGAGATTGAGTTACCTAATAGATTCTGAGGAAACAATGCTACAATGAAGTTGATTTTAAGCAGAAACCAGGAAGCATCCTTGAAACTTTCTTCCTTAAGATAAACTTTAAATGATTTTCTCTCAGAACTGCTGCCTTATGAAGTAATTATCAGTCATGTTAAAATAAAACTAACATATAAACCATACCTTTATGTTAGCTTTTCGTTGAGCCTCTATGACCTGTTTTCTCAAGTCCTCCATTTCTTTCTGCAACTGTTCATTCTCTTGCTGAACCTTTAGACTTTGTTCACTGATAGAGACACTCTTTTCTCTTTCTGATTTCAAAGTACTTTGCAAATTACAGACAACTTCCTGGGAACGGGATTTCTCCTCCTCAAAGCTGAAACAGAAGAAATGTCTTGCTCAAACTCAAGAGTTGAGCAACCACCACACAAGAGGAAAAAAAAATAAAATAAAAAAAATCTGGGACAGATCTTAGGTCTGATCCAGTTCAGCTGTTCCTGTTTCTTCCTGAAAGTTTGTATCAGCTCAGCATGTTTAATGGTTGACAGCTAGAACTATACACAAGTCAGCAAAGAATTTTATCCTGACGGAATTCATAAAACCAATCTAATGCTGTAACAATCTTAGTAAAATGATGTAAAACAAAAGATTTTAATTTTTACCAGATTTCCAGCTGAGGATTACTCTGGCAAAGGGGCCTACAAGATGCTGGAGAGGGACTCTTCATCAGGGACTGCAGTGACAGGACAAGGGGTAATGGGTTCAAACTTAAACAGTGGAAGCTTAGGTTAGACATAAGGAGGAAGGTCTTTACTGTGAGGGTGGTGAGCTACTGAACAGGTGGCCCAAGGAAGTGGTAAATATTCCATTCCTGGCAGTGTTCAAGGACAGGCTGGTCAGAGCCTTGAGCGACATGGTCTAGAGTAAGGCATCCTTGCCCATGGCAGGGGGGCTGGAACTAGATGATCTAAAGGTCCTTTCCAACCTTGACTATTCTATGATTCAGGATGATCAGAGTACAGAAACGACTAAAGCTTCAAGAGAATCCTGTATTTTCATGCTGAGAACTACAACCTCTTCCAAAAATGTGTACTGTTAGCTCTGAACACATACCTGAAACTCAGTATGCTATGTAAACAGTGTTCTGCATGTACTAGGAGATACCTCACTGTAGATGAATTTATATTATTATAAATTCTTCCTATTTCATACTTTTCCTACAAACAGTATTTAAAAAACAGAATCCAAATAATATACTATTTTCTTTTTTTGGGGGGGAGGGTCAAAAAATTGCTTACAATTCTTATCTCGTAAAGATCTTTCATTCTATAGCACATTATCCCCTTTAATTCTTTTACAGTGATTCATAATTGCCCTTGCTTCAGAACTGTGGTATCTGGATGCTATTCCAGTCACTGGTTAAAAAGACGTAACAAAAACCTAACACATAACAACACTTTAAATACTCAGATGTAATTTCTGTTGTTTTCCATGCCAATTTCTGTTACATCCATTACTTACTTCATTTCCAGCTGTTTCAGTTTATTTTGTGTTGTCTGAAGAGTGAGCTGAAGGTCATCTATTGTAGTCTCTGCAAGTAAGTACTTCTGATGCAGCTGCTCTAGTTTTCTGTTGTCAGATTCATATCCTTCGTCTTCCCTGTAAATCTGAAGAATAAGCTTATACGTAACATCATCTTTATCTTGCACTGGTGACTGACAGTGTAATACTGTGGTACAGCATAGTATTGTAGTGACAGGATGAGAGGTTCAAACTTTAACAGGGGAAGTTCAGGTTGGATAAAAGGAAGAAGTTCTTAACTGTGCAGGTGGTGAGGCATTGAACAGGTTGCCCAAAGAAGTGGCAAATGCTCCTTCCCTGGCAGTGTTTGAGGCCAGGCTGGTCAGAGCCTTGGGCTGATATGCAGACAGACTCCACAAAGTTGTGGAGTAGGTATGCTTTTATTCAGTGCTGAGGCGCATGGGGATTGCTCCTCCAAAAGCATGTGCACCTTTCCTTTGCCACTCAGTTTGTTTATATTACATATAATGATTACCTAGACATGAGATTGCTTCACGCCTAATACATATGCAAAACCTATTCCTGTCCAGTATTATAATTAGTTTTCTAGCATTCGTCCCATTGGTGTGCCTGCGCAGTGCCTCCTGGTGGTGGTCGTGAGGATGAAGGCCTGTAGTTCCTCTTCATCACCGTGAGTAACCTCTTGCTTTCACGCAGACTCAATAGGGTTTCGGCTCCTATCCAAACCTCAGGTTTGGTACAAGCTGGTTTTATGTACCTTAAAGCAGAAACTTGTCAAGTTTGCAAATTTTGTTACTCTGGCTTTCTTTTGTTCCTTTTCTTTCTAAAGATACTATTTAAACAAGAATGTCTTAAATGTTAAGTTATGAATCTTATCTACTACAATTCTGCCTAGCAGCTGTAACTCTTACAATTCTGCTTCACCGTTCTAGCAACTTTGACTCCTATGGCTCTGCTTCACCAAGCACAGTGACAGCTTAAGCAAGCAGACACAATGTTAACCCTTTATTTCCTGGTATCAGGGTGACAATGGTCTAGAGGGGCAGGGGACTGGACCTAGATGATCTTAAGGTCCTTTCCAACCTTGACTATTCTATGATTCTATGATACTGACAAGGAGGCTATTTATTCTTCATTGCACCTTATTTTCCAGTCATTTAAAACAAAACTGAATTTAAGTTTTGAAAAAAATTCATTATTGCTGCTACTTGGGAGAAGAAGTTTCCAAAGGTCTGGCATCCATTAATTTTTCTGTCTATTAAGCTTAACTGGAATATGTGGCAACATTCTTTCAGATTATGTCAAACATCTCTTCGTTCAGTTTTTATCCTTTCCAAAGAACCCTCTTTTTCAGTTTAGTATTACAGCTTTAAAATGCTTTCTGGATTACATAAAATCCTGAACTTAAAATGACTGCATGAAAATGTACAATTAAGAAAATCTACTCCTAGAATCAAGTAAGAAAATTAAGGAAAAACAAACCATGAGAAATGGGAAAAAATTATGTAGCTTTTCCTTCTGAAAAGTGATCTTAAACGTGATGTAAAAAAGCATGCAACTGCCTTACCTTTTCAAGTTCTGCTTCTACAGCTTTCTTTTCTCTAATAGCTCGTTCAATTTGACACTGTTTTTCTCCACATTCCTGTTTTTCAAAAGTCATTTTAAGATAAATCTAATAAAAAATAACTCTAAAAATTCAAGAAGTGTCAAAATTTAAAACCAGCCATTGTAAATGTAATTCTTGCTGCTGATATGAATGCATTTGATGATAATTACCTGCTCATTATTTTCTCTATAGGATCAGTCTCATTCATAATACAGACCCAAGACATGTAAAATGAAAGCTTTTTTAAAGAAATTTAACCCATACATTGTGCATATGCACTGAGCTCTTTTGATCTCCCATACAACTTGTTACAAGTGCTTGGTTCATTCAAGAATGTGATGACTGTAATGCACGGACTTTCTCTTTGCATGTTTATCAACTTTCATATATGTCATTTCTACATACCCAACTATAGATATGATATGGTACAGATACTCAGCTTTCCAAGCTTTATCCGTGAAAGAAACAGGAATACCTAAGAAATGCCATCACACGGGAAATATTTGCTAGAGTACAGAAACTCAGTGAATTGATGCTTGTGAACTAAACCTACGTCAAGGAATAAACGTACACAAAGAAATGGGTGGATCTACAGAACTGCATAATTTTATGCACAGACAGTCAAATTTTCAGGGAAGGTAAGGTACGACTGTATATGCATAAGGCAAACCTGTACATTAAAATGAAGTTTCAAACCAAATACGCTTTATACCTAAACATGAATCTCTGCACCAACTGTTATGACACTGCACATGACCGCTTTTCAAGTAATGTGAAAGGCACTCTGTATTTAATGTCTGGAGTTATGAAGGATGTAAAGTGCTATACAGTAATAAAACACAGACCTAGACAATTACCCATTATTCGTATTTTAGTTGACTGCATTTTAACCAGAATTTAGCATTCTACTGCATCAACAAAAACTAGAAATCACATTCTGCTATCAAAAATACTTTCATCAATCAACACCATACCATCTGAAGAGCTGAAAGTTCTTCTTCTAGTCGAGAAATCTGCACCTTATACTGTTTCTTTGCCATGTCTACCTGTGATCAAAGCCAAAGTAGAACACACAAACCCATGAACTATTTTTCCCTCTTGTTTTTTTATATATAAATATATATATTTATATATATTCTATATGCGCTGCATATATATAAAAATATCTAAGATTGACAAATCTTATTGTACAAATGTTAGAAGAATGTTTATTATTAACCCATACTTCTTAAAAAAAAAAAAAGGCAGAAAGGAAGACATCACAACAAAGCCTTATATAAAGAACACTAATTCTATCAAGAAAGCTGCTATCAGGTGCAATATATTTGCAATTTGTGTAACAAGACACTTCTAGATCACATAAAATAAGTATTCGTTAATACCTGGAGAAACATGACAACTCAGTTTAAAATTTTACTTTTTGTGCCTTTGATAGATTCACTTCTACCGAGACAATTTCAAAATAAGAAATAGGGAATTTCTAAGCTTCTAAATTCTATTCAGTAAAGTACTGTCACAACCAAAGTGGTTATCCTAGTTGCTCTTTAGCTCTTGTACTTCCTCTGAACCACTTACGAAAGTTTTAAGTAATCCATGCAATTTTTGTGATTCTTTCAGGTAACCATAAATGGAAAGCACAAACTGTATCATCATAGGCTCTGAAAATTTAAGTAGTATGCTCCTGACACCTCTTGAAATTAAAGGATTGGAAAGAAAAATAATCCTTTCATCCCTATACAGTGCACAGGCACACTGTGTCATAGAGACAAAAGTTAAAGGAGTCAAAATTAATTACACCACTGAAAACTTAAAAAAATGAAATAATTGCTTTACGCTGTTGTTTACTTGCAACAAAAGACATTGCCAACATATGCTTTTATTTCCTCTGGAGCTTGTCTTAAAATAAAGTCTCTCTGACATGCAGGTAATTACTGAGAACCTCCAGGTTCAGCATTTTAACTGCAGACAGGAAGCAACATAGAGAAAATTAATTTTGTGACTAGTCTTTTATCAGAAGAGCTTCAAGATTTCAGCTGCTTCTAACAACAAAAATCATAAAGAGACTACAACATCTTTTTTAGACATTTCTCTACCAAATTCTAGTTCATGACATTGAGACTTTTGGTTGTTAGCTTTACTGGGTAGAAGAGTCTTACTTGCCTAAATAGGGGAATATTTTTAAGTACTGAGATGCCACAAAACTGGCAGTATAACATTCAACAGGTCCTATGACAAGCATCCATCAGCAACTTCTCAAATGAGGCCACGTGTCATTAATTAAGTAACTTGGATAGCAATGCAACAGTGTTTTGACGTGCCACTGAACACAATCTCTGAGATAAAAGAAAGTGCCATTGTTTACATCTTCACAGTACAGCCTTCTCTACACCACTGTCTGCACAAACATCAACACTTCTTTCTTGAGAAATTTCAGAATATCATTTAGTTTGGAAGAATTTATGTCTAGATAACAAACCTGAAAAGTACAGTAGTGTCGGCATGCTGTCTTGCTATCTGTATTACCCAAACACTTGTAAGAAAACTGCTCATGATCATGCACCATCTACAGCTTTTCATGGTGAGGAAAACCAAAAAATCTACCCATTTCTTCTAAACATCATAACTTACTGCTTTTCTAATTCTTGCAGCATTATCTTCTGCGAATCGAGACATTTCATATTTCATTTTTTTTATTTCCTCTTCCTTTTTTTTCTCCCTAGAGAATGCCTAGAAAAAAAAAAAATAAAAAAAAAAATCACAAGTTGAAATAGTACTGGCATTTCAGTGGTGACAAAGCATCTCTAGCACTGAGAGAAGAAACCACACAGTCACTGTTCAAAACACCTTTCTTCCTTTTTGCTTTGGAGTAGCTTGACACTAAGACCCAACTAAAGAACAAGAACAGTGAGCATTTTGCATTAAATACACCTTCTTGTACATCAGTACCACACAAAAAGTTAGCATCAGTAGATGCCTTTTTCTCGAGACTTATTATTGGACCTTCAGATTTTGGCTGGGTGTAGAATTACACAGAAGCAAGCATAGGAACTCAGAGCTACTCTCCCATGTTCTCATTTAGGGGCAGATCTGTAATAAAAAATACCAATAATGATGCATAGGCAGTTCTCTGTTAGGAAACAAATGAGATACACAAAGCTATGGGGAAATTATGAGAAGGAAAAGATGGCACCAAAGGATTTCCTAAATAACTATAAATACATGAGAAGACTGTAACAAGATGATAACCCCTTTCTGTATAGCAAGAACAATCACAGAAGTTTAACTACAATAACATGAAGAACCCTAAGCTTTGTCAATACTTTATTCTGGAAGCAGGCCAGAAGGTAGCAGGATTTTCTTCAAGAAGCTAGTTCCCTTTTCTGTCAGAAAAAAAGGAGGTAGGTCTGCTTCCTTTGTCACAGAATTGAAATCAGGAAGGGCAACACTAACTTTAATATTTAAAAAGTTAAAGTAAAAATCTAGTTTAGACACTCAGGAGGCTAAAGGGAGACTAAAAGGGAGCATTTCTCTCCTTAATTGCTCAACGGTTCAACATGTTAGTTCAAATAAAGTAAATTCTAAGATTTTCCTGTTTATTCCCATGGACTTTGACTACACTGGGTTTCACTTACTGATGGCTACAGTCATCAGATATGTGTTAAAGTTCTGTCCTGACAGCAAACACAATTCATTAGAATTCTAAAATTCTGACTGAAACTGAAGCCTAGCATTAAAAAAAGAGCCCATATTAGACAAAAGTTTTCCAAGCCCTGTAATCTATCCCCAAAAGGGGCAAAGAACAGACTTCTGTAAAGTTAAGAACTGGGAAAAAAGGTTTTTTTTTGATCAACAGAAACATCAAGACTTCCTGGATTAGACCCTGTTCTTTAGGAAGTGTTGGTGGATAGTCTTGTCCTGACTTTGGCCATTTTTGTATCTACATACTTTTGGCATACTCTTCATGCTATGACAGTTTAATCATGTATTGTATAAAAAAAAAAAAAAAGTTTAATTTTCTTTGTTGACTTCTCCTACGCTTCCTTGTTTTTCCCATGTCTTCCTGAAATGGATTGATCAAAACTGCACATGAAGGTGGCACTATGTTTAAAGACATCTTTATTCACTCTGCATTCACTCTACACATTCTATTCATCATATTGAGGACCACAGAGGATTGTGCAAGTATATTCTTTAGAGACATCCACACTACCTCCTAAACCATTTTTTGTCTGGTAAGACTAAATTCAGCAACCAGTATGGCACATTTGGATTTCTTCTGCCATTTTATAATACATGAATAAACACCTTGGCAAATTCTTCCTGAATGCAAACTTCACCCACTGATTGCTCAGACACTTTTTCAGTTTCAATATCTGAACACAGAACTCACTCTCTTGCTCACCTATGCCCACTGTGTAACAAAAAAGTTCCTTTTAGTTTTAGCTTTTCTTTCCTAAGTTAGAAATTCATAACACAACTTTCGTTTTTATTCTGACAGTCCAATTTGTTTATAAGAAACAAGAAACATCTGTTGACAAGAAACTCTGTAAAAATTTTTTGAAAATTCAAGTTCAGGTACAGTATTATCACTTAGTCACCTTTATCCAGACACTCAACATATTCTTTGAAATTTGTACTGTAGAACAAGTCTAACTAATACATGGTCATATCAGAGTTTGTTATCTTACGCACTATGCACTTGTTGTAATTTTAGTACAACAGACATGCAACTTGGTTGTGTATGCACCGGACAACTGTAAGTGATTAAAGTATTGTAATAACTAAGAAGTATCTTCAACATTTGCCTTACCCAACTTTTTTGTAGGTTAGCTTCTTGTAAGAGGTGTATGTAATCTTGGGTTTTTGCAACAGCATCATGCTTCTCCCTTACTAGATTAGCAATCTTTTTCTGAAGTTCCACAATTTGTTTCTCCCAGGCTGCTCTTTCTTTTCTCTGCTGTTGAGCATCTTGGACAGTAATGCTTAATCTACAAGATAGTAATAATTTTACTAATTTAACAATAAGATGGTTAATTAATACACTAATACTTGCAAGGTAAACTAATAAGATGTATTCATAAGTTGCCAAAACTGCATTCCTGGTTTTCTGCTTGTTTTTGGACAGAGTCTTTGAGCTTAATATCCATCAAGTCCTAGAAACAAACAGAACTAAAAGAGTTAACTCAGATACCTAATCTTAGAAGATCCTTAGAAGAATGTTGCTATCCTGGGATACATCACTGCAAATGTTCTATGTTAAAACAGAATATAACAGCCCCAGAAGGCATACAGTTTTCCTCTGTGTAGGAAATGGAATAACTGGATGTGAGCACTGAAGTTGCAGCTATACCATTAGAACAAGAAACTACTGGTAATTTTACAACAGCTTGGAAAATCTTGTTTAATTGTGATTGTCAGTAGTGGTAAGCACGAAAAAGAGCAAGAAAGCCTCAGAAGTATCCTCAAAAAATCTCAAAGTTTCACAAGTACTGCTGGTTCAATGAAGTTCATGGTTCTAAATATCCACTGAGAGCACTTCAGAAAATAGAGACAACCATCATATCTTTGTAGAACCAAAGCCCAATTTTTCCAAGACCAAAAACTTACAGAATGTAAAATGAGCTAATTCCTTCAGACATTCTAAAATAAACTTAAGATCCTCCAAAATGCTAAGGCCAGCAAAATTCATCAAGTAGAGGTAGCCTCACTAGCCTGTGCAACAACTTGAGACAGTACTTGACCACAGATTTACAAGGTTGCTTCCCTAGTAATTATTTGGGTTCTAGAGTTATTGAAGAGTCATGTTTGCAAGGCTGGCCAAAAATGGAAGATGAACAGTCACACAATTATTTCAGTAAGAAACTTACATATTCTTAACTCTCAAGTCATTTGACTAATGTTAATAATTCAACAACATGAATTAACTTCAAGTTTGAGATACTTGAATCAAAAATCACTGTGCTCAGCCAAGTGTCTTATCCTTGAAAATGAAGGGGGAAAAAATTCACATAAAAGCACCCAAGTTTTACATCTTCCAGTAGACAGTGCTGGAATTTAAGTTCTACTCCTTAGCTCAAACTTATTCAAGCTGCTTTTGTAATTAGCATTTATTGTTAAGAAGGGAGCTTTAACAATGTCATTATCTTTTTCTGTGTAAATATTGCTGAACTAACACCTCAAAACAAATCCTATCTAACACAGAGGGGAAAAAAATCACTTCAAAACCTTCTAGTTTACATAAACATTTTCAAATTTCAGTGTCAATGGTTTACTTTAGAGTTCCACCCAAAGCTAACAACAGTTGAGTAACTAGAATTTATGTACTAGAACGAAACATATATGCCTCATTTTTTCTCCATTATAGTCAATAAAATCAGATGGCCTGTTTATCATTTTAAAAACACTGAAATCAGAAGCTATTCTGAAAGGTTGCAGAATATAACAAGATTGAGAGCAGCCAAGCATAAGATACCTGTATTTTGAGAAAACAGAGCTGCTCAGAAACACAAAACCCAGAGGCTGAAAAAACCCACAGCATTTAAACTTACTTGCATGTATTGTGTGATTAAAACCCAAGGAGCGATTGTTACCTTGTTTCTAGTTGTTTTATCCTAGTCTGCATTTGATACAAGTGTCTGCCAAATGCTGCTTCTCTTTGCTGGTCAAATAACATGTTTTCTTCCTAGAAAGAATGTATGCATTATCCAGACATCATCTGACCTTCAATGAACAAAGTAAGTATGTACTAACATAAAACAAGTTAGAGAACAATTTGGGATTAATTTTATGTCAGCATTCAGGTAACTGACTAGCCATTCAATTGCAATAGAAAATATTCCTTTCTCTACCTTTCTCTCCAACTGGGTTTGAAGCCTTTTTGTTGATCTGGTCATTTCATCAACCTTAACATTTGCTGTCTGCTCATCTTTTCTGGCTTGCCTGTATAAAGAAAATAGTCTGTGACTCACATTTCAATTATTACAGGGAAAAAAAACAACCAACAGATCAATTACAACTTTGTTGAAATAGCTGTGAAATGCGGTCAAATTTCATAACACTGCTCCTACAGGGCAGAAAACTTTTCTCCCTTCTCCTTCTTACTGTGTAGCATAGTGAAAGAGGAACAACAGATTCATTAAACACTTGTTCTGTGAAAATGACTTCTTTAAGACCTCTAACAGGAAGGTGTATGTGTTGATTACATATTTGAGAGGACAAGGCAAACAAGAACTTCAAGTCAAAGTCATCTTAAATATAACCAGCCACAGATACTTCATAGAAAAATCATTTACAGAATTAGATTTCACTTTTTATAGCAACCTGACCAGGAATTAAAAAAAAAAAATAAAAAAACATTAACCACTTCTGAAGAATTTGACTGATGTGCTTTGTAACTTGAAGAGGTTTTACATGAGGTTTAGTTAATGAATGAGATTTCCTCCAAAGTAGAAAAGCTTACTGAAATGGGCAACCCTCCTACTCTAACTTGACAGCAGAAAGACTGAGTCCTTCACCTGGGGTGTAACCCAATTAATTCAGGCTGCGTATCAGGCTAAATTTAAAGACCAATGATAGCATGTATGATACAGTTAAAAAAAAGAGCAAATATATTAGATAAGGTAATGCAAACTGGAGCACCAATAGTAATGAAAGAACCTAGAAAATATTTAAATAATCAATATGAAGCAAAACAATCCTTATAGTGACTTTGATTTAATGACATAAAAGACAAGAACCTATTATACCTACATGAAAATCTTAAGCACGCTATACATAATCCCAGCAATTCCATAGCAAATACTTAATTTCAGCTTAATTAATCAGAAAAGCTAATTTTGTTACAGCTTCCTTTAAAAGCAAAAAAAGTTAAAAACATTATTTCCAGACATATGGTCCTCATTGCAGGTCCAGAAGTTTGATCTTACTCCATCTGAATTATGCACCTTTCTCCTACAAAAATTACTGTTAAACCTATGAGGACATTAAGCTGCTTTCCTCCAGATATTTAAAATGTGCTGTAAACCAAAACAAAACCTTAAAATCCAGCAAAAGGAGAAGCAAACAAAGTCATAAAACTCAGAAAAGCTTAAATATAAAATATGAATTTTAAGGAACAAATTCAGATTCAGGTAAAATTCAGAGGTGTGTGTTTAACAGGCAACAAATTAATTCAAAAGATGCAGATTTTATTCTTCACTGTGCAATAAATCTTTAACATAACCTTGGCAAGTTCCCTGTTTAAAAGAATTAAGATTCTGAAATGCAGGTAGACTCTAGCAATGCCTGTTTTCTTAGTTTATATATTTTACCTACCAATATTTAAAAATATTTCATTAGCATATAGATTAAAACATTTTTAATATCCTCAGTAAAACTCAACAGTTCAAGCCACCACAAAGACCATTAGGTCACTGACTGTTAAGCATCCACTCTCCAGAGACAGCTGCTAGTAGTTACTTAAACAGAACAGCAATACAGTGAACTAAATGATTAGCTGTATACAACAGAGCTTTGAAACACTAAAGCACAAATAAATGTTTCAGTAAAAATTCTAGCATATAAGCATATTCAGTAAAAATTCTAGCATATAAGCATATTCAAACCTCAATTCTCTACAGAAATACATCAAATATTACACTGTCTCTGAGAGTGGCATATTATGGCCCTTCAATAGCTAGCATAACCGTACATAAATAGTACAATATAGTACATTTTAAATTCAGTTTATGTTAACATTGATGAGAAGCAACGATTTAGGTCTTAAGCACTTCTTAAGGAGTTTTTGCCCAAATTTCAGTTTTTTATTTTGGGTAAAGTCTGATCAAAAGAATAAAAGCTAACATCAAGCTGAAAAATAACTTCCATCAGAATTCTTCATTTTGTCTTCTTTTTCCCAGATTACTTGCCAAATCTTAATCTAACAGTATTCTTTTAGGCACATGTACTGGAAGCATAGCATGACAATATGTCAGGAGCATGCTTAAAGTGTTTCACGGCTACATGTCAGATTGCATACTTTGATGAAATTAAAGTATCTAAAGTTTATCAAAACACATTTATAAATTTAGCAGTATCAAAATGTCCAAAATTACATTCAATCTAGGCCACAAAAACCTAAATCAAACCTAAATTCTCTTATACACAAGTTTGGTTTTTTTAGATCTACTTTTCTGCTCCTGACTTTTTACTTTACCATCATAAATCAATGTGTATCTATTAAAATCAATCTAAAGGATTGGAATTGTATGTAATATATGCTATATAATTCATGCACACTACATCTATGTAACTTTGTGTTAAGAGAAACAAGTTGTAAAATACGCCAGACTTTTTTGAAAAAAATCACTGCAGCACTTTTAGACCTATACAGAGCTGCTGTCATTAGCTTTACAAATATAACAGCACCGCTTTCAGGGTTACAAGAACTTCTAGCTGCTCTGAGAGGACACAAGTGCAATCAGAGCCCATAATTAGATGCAAAAATCCTCCAAGATCCTCTTTTCCCAAAACTGAGAATGCTATAAGGGAGTGTAACAATGACAAAGGTTGCTCATGATCACTGCCAGCCAGATTAAATAGTTCCAGAAAGACTTCTAAAACAGCAGCTTGAAAGGAAACATTAAATCTCATGACTGTGGGTGAGAGACCTTAGAGAGAATTTAGAAATTTACTGAGTATCTAAAATAGGTTCAGTTTATGCTAATTGCTTTCAGCCCCACTTATTACATGAGTCACTGTAAGCATGTCAATGCAAGGGCAAAGATTTACAGATGAATAAGAGATCAAAACAGTAATTCAATACTAATATCCTCTGCAAAGAAAGAAATTCCAAATAAAGTAGGGATATGAAAATGTTATTTCCCTTCTAAGAACAGTAGCATAAGCAAATTGCAAGTGATGACTAAGTTTGAAAATATTTTATTTTGGCAAATACCCCAAGTACCATGTTAATCCTTGATTGCTTGTCATAACACTTGTTTTCCAAAACATGATTTATGAAAACAGTTTTTCCAAAGAAAAATACTGACTAATAAAAATGAGAGGTCCTAATAAGTCCCTCTCAAAAACACATTTTCAGTGACTGAGATAACCTGGCATTTGTAAGCAGGTTCTGGTCCTACATTTATTGTACAAAAGGAAATGTAAAATTAAATATTGTTTAAAACAAAATTTTTCTAGTAAGTAAACAACACTGTACCAATTGGGGTGAAAGCTTAATAGTGGAAGCAGCTAATTTTTATTGCTCTAACAGCAAGAAAGCTTGGATGCATGCAATCTTAAAAAAACCCCCAACTTTTAAATTGGTTAATAAATATTCAACCATGACCAATATTCAACACTAATAAATCTATTCATTCACCCTCAACCTGTACCTTTAAATGTGGGTTTTGTGACACAGTAACATTAATATCTATGAATAGTACAATTAGACTGATGCTGAAATTCATGTAATACCCAATCTTTACAGTGACAACCACTCAGCACTACAACAGATAGCAGCGGCTTTTCATGTAATATTTTGGATGGGTTCAGAAGAGAGGAGAGAGAAGGTCAGATGCAGCCAACCTAGGTTTCTCAATACCAGCACTGCTTGCAAAAACTGCATACAAAATTGAGTGCATGCACACAGAGAGCCATCTTTAACTGTTAACATAAAAATAGGAGTGATTTTTATCATTTTGGGGGTGATGTTCTTTAAAAACCAAAATAGAAAACCACCTAACAAAATCACAGCGGTTCAACTATGTTAAATATTTTAATCACAGTACTGAAGGAAATTACAGTATCTAAAAATCAAAGGAAAATTTAACTCCAAATTTAAGCACATTATACATTTTATGCCTATAAATATAAATGTTTATTTTAAAGAGCTTATTTAAAGTTTTAGGATAATGCTATAGAAGAAAAAAAAATCATCACTGGTTGATAACGAGTCCATTTCTTTTTTATTGTCATTCGACAAATCCACTGGTTACTAAAATTTTAGTTTTACCTCAACCACCACTAATTAGAAGGGTTAACTGATACAGTAAACTGGCACTGAACAGACTCTGGCTGTAAATACAAATAATCATGAAATTGTGTCACAGCTATTTTCCTCATTTTCCTTGATATACTTCAGGAATATAGTTAGTGCTTCTCTTACCTCTAATTTCCAAAGAGCCCACATTTTATCGCTCTTTATTGAGAAACAGTAAATGGAAATTTTATTAACACATTCAAATCTAAAACTACTTTGAACATTCGAATTTCAGAATGTTAATGGTAATTATGTCACTGGATTTTGAGTAAATTGTCTTCTACTTAAAATTTATCTCCAAAGTAAATTTTGCTGTGATATTGACACTTTGCTCTTTTTAAACCAACAGTCAAATGTTGAATATTTCAGACAACAGCTGAGACAAATAACACTAACTGGAAATATGCTACCCTAACACAGTTATGCACACAGTTCTAACAAACTTAAGAGGCTTTAACTGAAACCATTGTAACTATCATTATCAAGGCAGTTTACAGTATAAACAAGGCCCATGATATAGCAGCAGGTTAGAAAAAGCTATAGAACAGATAATAATTTTTTAATTGCCTGGTTTATACCTCAGTTGTTTTTGTTGGTTCTGTAGTTCCACATTTTGTTGTGCTACAATTTGCAGAAGCTGTTGATTAGTCTGCAAAATAAGAAGATACATGTAACATGCTCCTTATGGTATTGAAAATAGGTGTTTAGAATTGTGACAGGGCACTTCTACAGAACATAATACCATTAAAATAGCCAGCAAGGTCTATTTAACACTGTGGCTCATCTCCAAGGTTTAGATAGAGTATTTTAAAAGGCAAACACAGAAGTGATTTTAATTAATCCTCCCCATATTTTGGTAGCATAGAAACTTCCTGAGATGAGAATTGTAATACCTCAGACCAACTGTTCGCGTTTGCATCTAGTTTAGGTGCCTGGAATACCTTATGACAACGAACAGAATAGCAGAACACATGGAAAGTAGAGACAACAAAAACAATGAGCAATTGCTACTCCTTCATTTTTTCTATGCCAGCAAGAGCTGCCATTGTCCTTCAACTGCTTTATCATTTAAGAATCATTTCCTATTTTTGTTACGCTACTAGCCTTTTCTGGATCTTACATATACCTTACACTGAGATATTAAGAGATGACCACAGCTGCAGGCAGCATTCAAGATGCAATTGCGTTTTGGACTTGAACACAATATATTCCTTACCCCATCTCCTAATAATTGCTAACATCCTTGTTGCTTTTTTGACTGTTGCTAAGAGTTGTTTTCAGACACTTCCTACATCTAAAATACCTGTTCTGAGTGGTAACAGTTAATTGCAAGACCATCACAGAGTAGGCAAAATGAAAGCTCCCTCTTGCCCACATGCATTATTTTGTTTTTAATACCAATGTCAGATGAAATTCAGATACTCAAGATCATGAGATCTTTCTGCAGATTTCTGCAGTTTAATTTAGTTTTCACTACCCTAAGTAGCTTGACATCAGCAGTTAACACTTGCCCCAACACTGAATCTCATTTAATTTATAAATATGCTGAACATCTCTAATCTGAGCACATCTAGGAAATACAGCTGTTCGACCAAAATAAAAAATATCTGACTATTTACTGACTTTATTTCCTATTTTTCAGTTTGTTAGTTCAAGAAAGGTCATGCTTCTTTATCCCATGACATCTTTACACCTATTGGTTATTTTTGGATAAGAGTATGGATTACCATACGCCTATCCTTTGGATAGGACAAATGGATTACCTTTATGTTAACATCATCTGTTTCATCTCTTTCCATGAGTTCACGTATTTTACTCTCTCTCCTCTCCATATCAACTCTTTCCAATTTTATGATTTTAAGCATTCAGTGATTTTTTTTAGGTACCTACTACTGATGTTGTAATAGCAGATTAAAAGCCTGTAACCGCAAAATCCTCAGCAAAACTGCTTCAAAAGCTCATAACTGTATTTGCCTGAGATTTTTTTTTAGACAGCTACCTCCCAATAACTCTAAAGAATCTATCTTTACAGAATAGAGAATTTTGAAATGACATAATACACAAGGTTTCTCTCAGACTGTTATTTTGCTTTTATTAACAGGACAGCTACTTGCAAGATACAGTTCCGTAGTAATCTGCAATATACTACACAACATTGGTAAGGGCTCAACTGGAATATTTTACTGTTTCCAGCACCACAGTTCAAGAAAGACGAGACAATTGGAAAGAATTTAAAGGTGAGCTATGAGAATGATCAGATATGTTAAAAAAAAGGTCAAAGAACATTTAAAGACTTCACTGGCTTTGAACAGAATACAAAAGTGGGGAAAGGGAATAGATGGCAATAGAGAAGTTTCAATAACAGAGGTACCATGACAAAGAATGTAATAATCTTTCCTTCATACCTACACTATTTCACACCAAAGAAATTTGGCCAGTATTTTAACAAGAATATTTTAACAGGAGGTCACATCTGAGGAAAAAGGGTTCCAGTGACAAAGACGGAAGACAGTAGACTACCTACAGTAGGTCAGGATTTCACCTTGATTTTTTTACAGTATTCAAAGTTTTTGTTAATCCTGAGAAGTCCTAGCCTAAATCTTGGAGACTAAGGTGTCTCATAATCCAAGTATATGGATGAAGCACTGGTAGATGATCATTGCTCAGAAAAACATTTGAAAAGTTTGACAACAGACACTGAAGCCAGCAGTGCCAAACAATCAGTAAACATGTGGCAGAGAATAGCCTGTATAAAAGGTAATAATTAAATTTTTCCTTTCTGGAGATGGCTTTGGATGTGTGTAACTGAAGTGTACTCACCACATACTCAGATTATGAGTGTAACCTGACTTCTTGAAGAAAGAGCTAACATAATATTAAGAGCTAACCTCTCAACCAGGCTGACCAGCTGTTTGGAATTAAGGAAAAAAAGAGCTGTTACTACTTGATTTTTGACTCCTCCCCAGAAAAGTGCAATTCTGAAAGGCACGACTTCTTTTTCAACAAGGTATATATGAAGGACTTTTTGCTTTTCTTTTATACTTTGAGGCTCTAGTAGAACCCCTCCCCCATAATTTACTAGGTCATTTTTCAGAAGTTTTACTTACCAACTCTTTCTTTTCATTGGCTATGCGCAGTTGCTGAGTCAACCGCTGAAAACCAGTCAGCTGATCCTAAAAAGAGAATTCAGAGCTTGCTATAATTATTATCATCATAAAGAGTGTATAATTATAGAGTTTCATAGTCAACTAAAAACATTTCCCCAAAATGTATACACACTGCAGGAAATTCAATATGCCTTTGTAGATTTTAATTAGATTGCTTTTATCTGTTGACGTAGTAACCTGGATAATTAGATGTGCTACTGAAATATGTATCCAAGTTTCACTCAGTTATAAATTACCTCCTTCCAATACTCATACATACTTATTCCCAAAATATGAAAACATAAGCAGTGCCTTTAAAGTGCCACATAGACCATGATGCTATTATATGTATTTTTGCTAAGCACAGTAGCAGACCCACCCCTCAATTAAAAACAGCAAAAAAAAATCATTATTTCCAACCCTGCAATTCAAACACATCTACATGCACATGACTATCTTGTGCACATATACATATATACACAGTAAGACTCCATGTCCTCTGCAAGTTCCTGCCCATATATTTGAAATAAAGAATTTTCCAGTCATAACAGTGCATTTAGCTGATGAATCAGTGACCACATCTAACCATGCACCTTTAGGTAACTATTATGGAAAAATGGAAAATAACTAACAGTACTGGTAGGCACCTCCCTCCTTCAATTTGACTACACACACACCCATCATCTCTACAGTATAGAAAGATTCCAAGATTAACAAGAACAAATTAAAATTACTTTATGCTTTTGCATTTCAACCATGTGAATCCCTGTTTCAGTCAGGTATTCCTGGTACTTCTGCTGGAGTTGATCATGCTCCTGTACTACAGTCTGCCAAAGCTCTACTGCTTGCTCCTTTGCCTGTTACAGAAAAACAGTTTGTATGAAATATTTCATTATAGCACATTTTTACCCTCATCTATCATTCTCTAAAGAGAGGTCTTAACCTCTGTTTTTACTCTACTACAAAAATTTGAACAAAGTATTTCATTAATTTCCTGGTCTGGTTGACTTCCAGATGAAGTCAACTATGAGAAAACACAGACACAAATTAATTCTAAAAACCCTCATATTAATCTAGGAAAGAAGTTCCTTCAGGTCTTTCAGCTGAGAGTACAAACACTTATTTAGCTACAGAACACCAGAACGCCTCAAAAGAGTGTCAAGGAACTCTGAACAACTTAATTCTGAACCAATAAATAAATCAGCTTCCTCTAATCTGCAAAAGCACAACAAGAGAAGTAAAACATTTGTACTGTTTTATCTCACACACTTGAGTTTCCAGTTTTAGTTGCTCTTGAAGGTTTTTCACTATATAATCATCTGCAAGAATATCAGTTCCTAGAGACACAAAAGGAAAGGCGTCCAGTTGCTTCTCAATAGCCTCTTTCAACTCTGCATGCAGCCTGAAATTCAAATAACTTAGTTCAGCAAAGTATTTCTATAACAAGGATTTTTTTAACAACTGAAGTACACTATACCTTCAATCTGTACATACTGTTTACTTCTAAGTCATATTTAAATTTATTTTTATGTTCTATAAACATAATGGGCAGTTTGAAATAGTTTACCATCTAGTTCTTTTAGATACATAGTTAAATCTCCCGAACATGGTGCTGTAATCTATAGTAAGCACTTAAAGGCACTAACATTGAGCCACTGAACCTGTATGAAATCTTCAACTGTTAAGTAGGTTCAAAAGACTTCAAGGTCCTAGAGAAAAAGCTTTTCAATGTTTAGAAATCAAGAAAAGCAGAAGTGCAGTTATTTACCTTTCATTTTCTCGAGTGACTTGTTCAAGATTTTGTCTCATCCCTCTCACTTGTACCTAACATAAAAACAGGGAAGAGTAAGCACTCATTCAGTTGACACAAACTTTGTTAATTCTTTCAGGAAAGTCATAGGATGCTACTTAAACTAAAGAGCTGCTAAGTCCTGTATATTCCAGGTCTTGTTATATCTAAAGCATTCAAAAGCTATTATGAGCTATTAAACTTAACTTTAGGAGTTCTTATGGCTCTTACAGATTGATTCTTTATTAACTCAAGCTCTTTTAGAGATACAGTGGATAACTCTCATCTTTCATGCAGTAAGTATTTGAGAAAACAGTTTAAAAATTAACTGAGGACAAACTTCAGTTACACGAGTTGAATGGATTGTTTTGTTAACTAGTGCAACAAAACCATAGTGCTTCTATTGCCTTTGGAAATCAGCCAAGCTTCAAGACTGTGTTTGCATAATCCTTATGATAGACAAATTTAACAAATTAAGTGCATTAAATCAAAACCGGAGGATCCCTTCTGCATGTAGATCACAAGTAAAAATTGCTTTCTGGTTGCCACAGGTTTTAAATATTAAACATATCATTACTTTGCTTTTCAGTGATCATATGAAGCATTAAAAAGTTTATTTTTTCTGTGGCTGAAAGGTGGACAGTCCCCCTCTACCACAGTCTCCATGATAATCAACATTTAAAGAATTATTAGAATCTAAAGAATTATTAAGAATGAAGAAGGCTGGGTGCATCTACATTTGCAGGACTGAGCTGGACTACACGGCCAAAATCAGACCTGTAAGGTAAGAGAGAAACAGCTGCCTCACCTGAATGTCACCTGGGGAAATACCTGCAACCACATCAGAATATCTAGAGATACAAAGCACGTATGTTTTATTTTACAAAACTTCTCCAAACAGTAATCTGTGCAATTTGGACAATCTCCCAACCTTTTAGTTGAAAGCTCTCCATTCATCCATTTTAAGCAGACTGTAGTCCAGCAAGTTTTTGAAGTGTGGCGAAGGCAGACTTTCCTTTACTGACAAAAACTAATAGCCTAGACATCAATACTATAAAATACTAAAAATTTACAGTCTGAAATGTTAGGAACATCCATACCCGATAAAGCTGCTGCTGTTTTCTCATTTCTTCCAACTGTTCATAATACTCCTTCATCAGAGTTGACAAGCTAAAAAGTTGAAAAACATGCTAAGTTTTGTAAATGATGAAACATTGCTCTGATAATTAATGAGTTTTGAAGAATTCTTCATCTAAAGAACAGTCACTTTTCTTTCTAAGCTTGACATTCACCAGAATCAAATGAACAAATATAATTACTATTTTTAATGTATGATCATCAACAGCATATTTCTTCTATAACAGAACTTAGAACATGTAACATTGTAAACTAGCAGTAAGAGAGCATCAGTATTTCATACACAGAATCCCAAATGATGGAAAAGTAGACTGCTACTGCTTTCACATACAACAGTAAAGCAGCCTATAAGACAACGCAAAATAAGGTAGTTTCACTAATATCTTTTTTTCCTTTTTTTAAATTGAGAGTAATTACCTGAAAATTCTGCATTAAAGGGATAATACCTTAAAAGCTAACAAGAAACAATAAGTTATTTTTGTAACAGGAATGACAATAATTATTAAACAATTTACTAATAGGCAACTCTTAGTTGAAGACTGTCAAATAAGCACTTTTAAAAACAGCCACGTGACCTCAACAGACAGCAGTTACCTGTGTCACCTAGACCAGTACAATCCTAGCTGCACTTCTATTTATCCTCTTAAAATTTAGATTAGAGAATTCCTCCATTCATATCTCATCCTTTATTTTACAGATTGCAGAAGAAAAGTCATGTATTTAGTTCACTGAATGAGCAGAACAGTATCTAAAAACAACTACTACAGGAACACTTTTACAGATATATAGACAAGTTCAGAGCTGTGAATATATTCACATAAGACCAGGTTCACCTGGCTAAATGTTTAAATGCACATGATGATTTCTTTAAGTACTTCGTAGTATTCCCACTTCTCACTTGCAATCAGTTACCTTTCGTCCATCATCCTGGATCCTGACATGACACCACCACCGGGGGCATTTTTCTGTAATGGTATACTTTACATGTTAGTAATTGCACATGACTGCATGTAGTTTTAAATTTTTATATGCAACCCAAAGCTGTTGTTTTGTCTGTACTGTAATAATACACAATATCCCACATGACTGCTTTCAGGTTTACGCTCAAAAATACTTAGGTGGCCGAATTTGAAAAAAAAAAAAAATCAACTTTTTATTTTTTTCCTGGAGATGCTCTGATATAAAGCATAACTGGATCTGAGGGGGAATCATCTCACTCTTCAAAGAGCAATCAGAGGTTTGTGTAAGTACTAACTTCATTTCCATGCACCTCAGCATCAGCAAAGGCTGATATGCTAGCTTCTGTTCAGACCTTCAGACAGGTTGACGGTTCCCAGCACAAAAAATTCTCTTAACAAGAGACCAATCTCTTAGAAAAAAACATTAAGTCTGTGAGTGTCTACTAAAGGAGAAATCACATGTTCTCTCAAGGATATGTTCTCCTGCATATGACAAACTTTTGAAAATGCACTAAATACACCAGAATTTCACTGTTATGATAGTTTTATTCTATTGTTTATGCTTGGAAAAACAACAAGCAGCACTAGGGTTGTAGGATGGACCCAATGCAAGGCCAGGCCACTCTGTAGCAGGCTGTAGTCTATGTATAGAAAGATGTTTGTTGCAAAACTTCATTATGAAAAAAAAAAACCTTACTACTTCCTTCCCCAAGTTCACATACCTGGTCAGAAGTAGATCTCAAAATCTCATCTATTTCATGTAGCATACTTAGCCTTTGATCTGAAAGATACAAAGTTTGAGAATAAGAGCTATAACATGGGACATTATCTACATAAACCTGTCAGCCAAAAACGTTTAACAGCGTAGTGCTTTGAAGGCACACAATGTGTCCCGACACGACAAGTGTCAGGAGCGGGAGGGCAGCCCGAGATGCTGACCGCTAGCAGAGATCCCACCTGACTCCCCCCACTGTTGAGCTCAGTAGCCACGTTTCCTGTGGGAAACTTCATCGCCGCTCAATCAGCTCGAAGAAAGCCTGCTCGAAAAATACCGGAGAAACACCAGTTATTTCGCACGTTCAGCTCACCGTCGGATAAAGAAGACGGAATCAATAACTTCCAGACAACGAAGACGCACTTCCCTCAACCATCAGTTCCCACTTCTCTCGCTAAATAAAGCCCCAGCTGTAGCTAGGAGAGCCTCCACACACCTTCCCATCAGCCCGGAGCAGCAACCGCGCCAGTACCGCCACCACCGCCTGAGAAGAAAAGAACTCTGGGCACCCACCGGCCCTAACTGCCCAGGCGCGCCTCAGCAGCCATTAACCCCGCCTCACGCCGCGCTCACAGACCGCCGGAACGCCGAGCCCCGCTCTCAGCGGCGGCCTCAGCCGCGACCAGCCGTCTCCCACGGCGGGAGGCGGGATGGCTGTGTGTGTGTGTGCGCGCGCGCGCATCCACGCATGCGCGCTGGAGCGCTGTGGCGGCCACTGACTGAGGACGTAGTGGCTGGAGGTGGGTCGGAGGGAGGTGGGTGGGTGGGTGTCTGCGGGGGGTAAGAAGTGCCTTGCTGAACGCATCGGGGGGAAGTTGACGTCGGAGAAGGGTGCTCCGAGACCGGAGACACCTTGAAGCCCTCTGGGAGCTTATGCCTATGCCTGAAAGCGAAGTCTTAAATACGCTAAAAGCTACTGTCTCTGCTCGGTTTCCGACTTTCCTCCTGTTCTCTTGGAGCAATTAAGAAAAACATTAGGGTAATGACTTCTTGCTTGTCCTCTTACTTACTGGCGTGGGTGGGGTCTGGAACGGAAGACGTAAATCCGTTCGGTAGGGAGAGATACGAAGTGGTGGCCGCGGCGAGCTGCCGCAGATTTCTCCTTGCTGCGGGGGTCTGAGCATACCAGCTAGGTGTTCTCGGCATGTGTATCTTGAGGCAATGCAGTATGACTGCGAAGTGACTGAGAAAGTACTTGCTGTAAAACTGTTGAGCGTTTGCATGTCTTTACAGCGTATTAGCAACTGGTAGAGGTGTAATGTTTAACGGAGGGTTACCTCTTGTTTTGCTTTTCCGCTATTTCTATGTGTTGCTGGTTTTATTATAATTAAAAAGCATGCTAGTAACCAGCTTAGCTAAATCTGTGCAATGTAATAAACTTAGAAGTTGCACCAAAGGCTACTAATGTGGAAAATTTTGTATTTTCTGTCCTGTAAATTGAGCAACAGATGCTAATTAATGTTTTGCAGTTTCCCATAATTGATTTTTGATTGTTTTAAATTCCATGCTCTTCTTTTCAAGAGTAATAGTGGTTTGCAGCAGCAGGCTAAGTCTTCAGTATGTTCATTTAGGTATACTGTGAATTGTCCCTGCAGGAGTTAGTTGCTTTTTTTTTTTTTAACCAAAAAAAGTCGTCTATTGTATGGGTACAAATAGGGATGTGCATGTGTGATGCATCTCGTGTCTTGTCTTTGTTTTAGGCACTGCAGTTACAGTAGTGTCTAAAATAGCTTAGCAAGTTATATTATTTCGTTGCCTTTTTCTTTCTTTTTTTTTTTCCTATTAAACTTGCTATTTTGTGACTTTTCCGGAGACAACCTGTCGAATGTTATGCCTAAAGGCAAGCTTCACATTGCTTATTTCAGGAAGGAATTGCTATAGCTAGTCATGTAATTCTCGTGGTTTAAGCCCAGCCAGTAACTCAAAACCACGTAGCCGCTTGCACGCTCCCCCCGGCTCTTGGAGGGATGGGGAGGAGAATTGAAAGAATGTAACTCCCACAGGTTGTTACATTGTGGGACAATGTAACAACTCCAGTTACTAAGGTATAACACAAACCGCTGCTGCTGCCACCAATAATCATAATGATAAGGGAAATAACAAGGGAAGAGAATATGACAGCTCACCACCAGCCAACTGATACCCAGCCTGACCCAAGCAGTGATCTAACCCTTCTGGGTAACTGCCCCCAGTTTATATAGTGGGCATGAAGTGCTGTGGTATGGAATACCTCTTTGGCTAGTTTGGGTCAGGTGTCCTGTCTCTGCTTCCTCCTGGCTTTCCCTCCTCCCTGGCAGAACATGAGACTGAGAAAGTCCTTGGTCAGAGTAAACATTACTGAGCAGTAACTGAAAACATTGGTGTTATCAGTGCTGTTCCCAGGCTCAAAGTCAAAACCACAGTACTTCACCAGCTACTAAGGAGAAAAATGACCGCTACTGCAGAACCCAGGACACTCTGTATTTTAAGATCTTTCCAGCCTGCTTTTATTAGAAAGCTACTAAAATCTGGTAGTTCTTTCAAATAGGTGTTTCAGGCGTTTGCCTTGACCAGTGAAAGCAAATAGTTAAATATATTAGCACAAATTGAAACTGAATGATAGAAGGGAATGTTCACTTCTAAGTGCATGTTAATTTAATAATGTAGTATAAAATGGGTTCATAACACTTCGTTAATTTGTTTACATGCACCCATCTTGTCTTAAACTTTATTCTTTTCAGTAAGTAATCCTCCTTATGAAATTCTGTTTTGTTCCTTTTCATGGCAAGTGCACAAGGCACATGTATTCAATTTACAGGAATTCTGTTCATTCAGAAAACATTAGGAAGGGCCTTACCATCTGTGGAGAGTTCATGCTTATGCTGATCCGTGTTTGTAGCTTAAAAACACAGCTCTTGCCTACATTTTCTGTGGACTAATATTTTCTAAATCATTTTAAGGCTAAGTAGCCCATTGAGTATGTTTCAGCAGCTGTTTTATGTTGTGAAAGGGACTGTTTTTTTAACGTATTGGTCTTTTATTTGGTGGTATACATTGTGATTATTGCAGAAGAGCTGTCACTGTACTTGATTGGAATACCTGACTAATTATCTCTTTTTGTTTTAAACTGTGGTGATCTAGCTTTGCCTGTTTGAGTTAGTATTAATACTGGACTGTGAGCCCTTTTCTGCTGGCTTAAGAATGCTGTTAGGATGCTGTGTCTTCCCGTGCTTTGTACAATGACTGCTTTCTCTCAACTTGTGCAGCTGAGCTTCCAGAAACTCACCTGCTACTTGAGTTGGAGCAAACATTAATGATGGTAAGGTCTTTCATAGTTTCTAGGGCTATTCCAGGTCTCTTGCATAAAGCACATCTAATGCTTGTCTGGCTTATGAAGTTAAAATGCTGATATAAGAATTTAATTAGTTTTCAGTTTATTTAAATGGAGCCTTGTCAAAGTGGTATTCCAATATTTAACTTTCCTTTTTTAATAGACTTCCTAAGGTATCCAATGATTAAATCTATTGTTTTAAATTTTCTCTAATCTGTCACACTTCTTTGGTCTCATCATTATCTCCTTGATTGTGAGTGTATCTACTTATGTCTTTGGACTTAGGTCAGTAAAATAGCTAGAAAGGAGATCTGGTGCTTTTCAGGATGACCTATCAGTAAAGAGAAGCTGGCTGGTATGTCTGTAGCAGAGTGTATGAAACAGTTAATGTGCAGTTGTAAGAGCAAGGCTATGGCATATAGAGAAGTGTGCTATGTGTAGTTACATTCTGTCTTGTGCTACACGTTGATAATACTTGCAGAATGTGGTAAGCTACACTTACTTTTCTGTGAGTCCCAAGGAAGTAGGTAGTGAGGCAGAGATTAAATGATCCAATTTAGTGTTTCCCACTGTTGTTACAACTTAAGTACTGAGCTAGCATCTTTCTGATCACAGAACTTTTATAATTCTCTGCTGGGCTGTGTACTGCCAGTTCACTTCTTGTATGGCTAGATGTGTAAGGGAACAAATCAAGTATTGCTTTTGTGGATAAAAAATAACCATCAATATGGAATGAACTCATAATACTAAAGTGAAGAGGAGTATGGCTTCAGGGGCTTTAAAATTGTTTGGAAACTGGGCTCTACTGGTTCTTTTGCTTATTAAATAGACTAAGGCTATTCCTAAGGTTTGTACATTTCAAAGTGGCAACACCTGTTGGAGTGCAGTATTCTCTGTTCTCGCTCCTCTGCAAACATTCAATGTGTTTAATATGAGCTTGCAGCTTTGCTTGAAATCCTTTAGTTTGGCTGGTTTGCAATGACTGTGAAGGAAAGCTTTAGCTGTTTCATTGCGTTGTATCTCATTCATGAAAGGCCTTTCTCAGTCTGTTTTTCTCATGACACCAAATCATCTAAGGTCCTGTAGTGGAGTCTGTGTTTTCTTGATATTTTTTATGGCTTTGGAAGGTGTTTATTTAGGTACATACTTGAAATACCTTAATCACCTTCGGTAAGAGTCGGGATGATTTGTTACCATGCAAGTGTGAGAACCTATGAAAAGCATTCATGTAACTGCTTATTTAAGTTGCTTTGAAAAGTGAAACTGTTTCAGTTCTTTTAATATCTAAAAACGTGATTTGGTGATTGACTTTGTACAAAAGTGTGCTTTTTTTCCTGGCCAACCAAACAGTGCAGTTGGTGCTGAAATGGAATTGAAAATGATCATTGACAGAACCTTCCTTTCTCATTTATGTAGTGTATGAAGATGGAATTTACAATTAAACACACATGGGATGGTTTACCTGTGAGCCATGAGCCAGCAACAATTTGGCTGAAGTCAAACAATGTGGGACTGCTAGTGGAAGTTAGCGCTCCCTTCTTTAATGACCCTCCAGCGCCACTTGGAGAGCCGGGGAAACCTTTCAGTAGACTGTGGGACTATGAGGGTAAGCGTAACTGTTCTGCAGTTGTATCTAATTTGGGTAGACAGTAATATTCCTCTGTAGGTCTTTATTTAAGAGTCTGTGATGGTTTTTCTTTTTTTTTTTTTTTAACTGATCTAATGGTTGTGAGTGTATGACATCTAGTTCAGTTTCCTTGGTCACAGTACTGCTTGTACTGAAATGTAAAGTAAAAACTTACTATGCTGTTGTATCCAGAGCAGTCCAGGAAAGAGTTTAGTTGCAATCACTGCCTTCTCCTTAAGCAGCTCTTTAAGTAACTACAAGCCTCATGCTATATTCAGCTGAAAACTACCCCAAACTGTATAAATAGCAGTGCTCTTTTTTTAGTCAATGAAATGATTTTCATCACTAGCACTGCTGACCATATGGTGAGTGGCTGTTTTATAGTACTGCAACAATAGAAATTACTGGGAAAAGAAGCAAATATGTTATGTCACTCAGTGGCTGGGAAGAAATGGAGTCCAATGAGCTGGATTGATTTCAAGAATGATGAGGCTGACTCTCCCTAGTCAAGGAAGAGTGTTTAGTCAAGTGCCTAGTGTAGGCAATCAAAGTTAGTTTCTGAGTTACTGATATAATTTGTGGAATAACAGGGGCTTAACATTTGAATATCAAAATAATTTTGTGTAGTATATGTATATATAAATGCCTTTGCAATTGATAAGTAGAAGTGAAATCCTAAAGATGGGTTCTGCTTTTGCTTTAAGAAGTAGAGAATCTATGTCTATTTTAATTGGTTTTCCACAGTCTTATTTGAGGACTGGGAGAGTGTGAAATAAATAGATAGCAGCTTATAAAATATGATTCAAGACTGTTCCCAAATGGAATGGGGAATATTCTTATAGTAATGCTGTTTTCCTTGTTGCTTCCTGTCAATACTGTCACTTTCACCTGCTTTGAATAATGCAAAAATTTGTTTCTAGCTGTTCTCTACTTCCTAATTATTGAACTGTTCTGATTAAAGCCCTACTAAAAGAGTGTTAGCACCTCTCTGATATGATTATACTAAGTAGGCTTATGTAAAAACAAAATAATCATAATTCTAACTGAAGCTTTCTAATAATGTCATTGCTGTTGCGAAACACCATTATAATTCCACTTTGTGTTCCTGAAAGGTGGTTCAACATGGCTTTCAGGTACACCTGGAACAGTAATCACTTGTCTCAGTGCTTTCTTAACTATTTCTGAGGTTTAGCAGTCTTATTTATGAGGTGTGTGGTCTGCTGTGAGTATAACTTTCTCTTTTATTTTTTATTTTTATTTTTATCCTCAGGCTACCAGCAAAAACAAGACTTCCGCACTTAAGTACCCTTCCTGGAGTGCATGCCATATGTTTGATTAGGATCAGTTTATCTTGGTCAGCTTTGTTCACAGCAAGCATACTGGATGAAATAGCTGTGTGGTGATGCTTTTCTTATTTTATGGAGAGCTAACATGAGTTAGTAGGCCATATATTTCTGCAACATTGAGATGAGTGTTTTGAAAGTTGAAAGTGGTAAAGTAAGTAGATTACTACAGTGCTTTTTAAAGCACTTTATGATGATAAGCATTAGAAATAAAAGCTCTTGAAGTTACAGTTACAGCTCAGCATTTCAAATAGTTAGGAAGCTGTCAGTAGCGTGTACACAGCTAGTCAAGGTCTGGCATGGCATAGGCCAGAAATCATGAAACTAGAATTGTTTTAGGGGGATAATGAAAGTCTCAGGGTATTACAAAATAGTTAATATAAAATACTGCAGTGTGTTTTGGTGTTTTTTTTTTTTTTTTTTAGTTGTAGAAGCATTTTTCCTGAATGACAGAACTGAACAATACTTAGAAGTTGAAGTTTGTCTGTGAGTACAGCACTCTGAAAGTTGCATATGTTATTTGCATTTTGAGTTCTAGTGCTTGTAAGGTATGTGTATGAGGAAATTATTTATTATATGAGCAAATTGTTCCAACATGGGGAGTGTACGTATTTGTTGCAGAGCAGTGCACTAATAATTGTGCAACTGGCATAATTTGAAGAAAATGGTGCTCTGATTTTTTTGACAGCCATGGGCAGCACTTGTTGCTGCTTTCTGGCAGAAGAGCAGTATGGAAAGTAAGTGGTCAAGTACATTCATAATGTACAGAAAACCTAGTTACATTTAGGTACCTGTTGCCCGATTAGAAGATGGAATTACCTCTCTTTATTTTTCCTGTCTTTAACAGGAAGAACTTTCTTTAGAGTTTGAGGTGACCAGAATGAAAACCAAATGGCAGGGTAAAGTTCATCTTCCTTGGAATTATTTTCCACCATGCATTAATAATTTCAATGCATTTGCAATTCATGGCTCAGGAGAAGAAAGAAAATATGAAGCGCTTTATCCGGTACCTCAACGTGAACTACAGGAAGGACAGAAACCAGATTAGTAAGCATAAAATTAGCTTTTCTGTAATATATTTACACTATTTCTGGAATACTTAAAGCTAATCTGGCTTTCTTTGAGTGCTGCTATTATTTTAATTACACTGCTTAGCCATGGATCCATTGGCACTGTGCTTTCTATAAAGCACTGTGGCAGATAGCTGTAATTAGTGCTTCATTTCTGTATTATCATCCCTTAGATGCATAGAAAATGATGCGTTCAACACTGTGGGCATCTGTTTTATCACCTTTCTCAGTTAAATCACAGAGAGCTTGTTCTGCTTTTTCCTTTCCTCCACACCTCTCTGATTTAATGTTCATTTTACCAGGTACACTTCCAGGAGACCACTTTTGCTTCTCCCCTACTGTTCTAAGCAACCTTACCTCTACAGATGGCTCCATATTGGGAAAAATTTGAAAAGGCAGACTAAACTGAAAAATATAATAAAAGGATATCCAGTATCAATAGGAAAACTAGGATATCTTGATTTTTAAATTTTGCTTTAGGCTTACTTATTTTCTTTGACTGTAAGGCTGATATGATTTGATAAAAACTGGTACTTCTGGGCATTTTGTGTAAATGAACTAGCTTTAGTGGGTACATCGTAGTTCTTAATGCAAACTTGTTACTCAAAATACATTGGCAGCCAGGTAAGGTAAATTTTAGGTAAGTTGCCCTTTTTGTCTTTATTTAAGATAAACTTTGCTTCTGCAACTTTTTATTTTAAAAATTTTAAGCTGTTGCTAATAACTTCCCTTTCTTAGTGTTTGTAAGAAAGAAATACTATTTATTTTTCTGTGGTAAGCTGGCTGTAATATTTTCCTGTTCTTTCTATAGCACCCCTTTCAAAGAAACCCTTGACTTTTCAGACATTGATAGAAGATGCAATTATGTGAAGAGGTTGCTCCTTGCTACTTTCATTGCTCTTAGTTTGTCTTTACTTTTAGAAATCTCTTCCGAATAAGAGAATTCCATTTACCTTTTAAAATGATGAGTTTAGTGTCAGATGTTCCGTCTACTGTTTGTCAGTTGATTATTAATTAGCAGTTGGCTTCAGGTCTTCATTCTGTTGTTTCTGTGTGGTAGCTTAAAGGAGAAATTCTTAGCAAGAACTGATTCATAATGCTTAAAAGAAAATAAAACTTTTAGAGGGAAAAAATGTTCTCTAGCTTCGTTATCCAGTCTTCCTCTTTTTCTGTAAGGGAAAAATATCCCTGTGATACAACTTTTCAAATGGTTAGGAGTTGCAGATTTTTATTCTATTGGAGTGCAGGTAAGTCGTAAAGCAGGATATCACTGTGCGCTTGCTCTGACTGCAGTTCCAGGCAACATGAGCTGAGGGAGTTTAAAAGGTGAGCGCTTTAGCTTCACTTTATGCTGTGTAATGCTTGTTTGTAGCTGAGAATTTTGCCCTGTGTTTTTCCAGTATAAGATTTTCAGAAACATGGTAGTGTGTTTTATTTATAAACTTAAGTTTTGGAAAATCAACATGTGGAATGCTGGTTATGTTTCTGTCCAGGAAAACCTGAAAATAGGGATGAGTTAAACCTATTGAGGATATTGTATCTTAAGACACATACTACAAGAATCACAACTTTTTTTTATTTTGCTTTTCTTTGCAGTCATCGTCTAGAATTTTTTGAAGATTTGAACTTGAAAGGACTAATGGGAGAAGATTGGAAGCGGCCTGAATCAGATATTTTGAAATCTCTCAATAATTAAATGGATCAAGGCATAAATTTTTATAGCATTAAGGTTGTATGAAGCTGTATGGAAGCAACTTCATTCTGAGCAGAGTCTGTAAATATCAGATTCCTAAGGCATTTCTTGACATCAAAATCATTGATCAGTCTTAAAATCAACTGCAAAGTATCTGAATGTACATACTATGCAACAGCTGTGCTTCAGTTCATCTAGGTATGGAGTTTTTCGTATGTGGTGAATCTGCTCCTACCAATGAAGGGGAGAAGTGCTAAAAAGAAGTGCTGAAATTACAGCTGTGGTTTTGTGAGAGATCTAGCCTGAGAAGGCCAATATCTGGCTTGGAATCCTTCAGTTTCTTCTAGTTAGTCCATTTCTGCTGTATTTTCTTGTTTGTCATTCTGTTGAATGAGTCTTATGTGCCTGATTTTTTTTTTTTTTTTTTTTTTTTGATTGCAATCAGGAGAAAGAATACGTCTTCTGGGAACAGAAAAGAATGTTGCTATCATGGCATTTGTGGCCCAGTACTTGCATTGCAAAGTGCTGTGGAGGTATTGCACTACTCTCTCTTACACCTTACTATGCAAGTTTTTCCTTGCATGGTATTGAAGAGAAACTTAATCTGTGTTAGTTTACTATCAGACTTCTCTCCTTCAAATTCAATGTGGAATTTCTAATGATATTTATGTATGGACAGTAGATCTACAAAAGATTTCATGTATTCCAGGAAAAGTGTCTGGGACAAATAATGTTTAGTATAACCTTTTGATGTACCTACAAAAGCTCATTTGTTCCAAGACCTTGTCACATCACCTTAAGGATTTAGCTCAGACATAGGAGAATTTTGTATGCGTGCCAACTGATGTTAGAAATACTCTAATTTTAAATGCTTACATTTTCTATGTGCAGGCATGAATATTTTTAACAGTAGTGAATACTGTTAGATGGCAACATCTAATTGTAAGTTCTCACAATTTACAAGTGATACGTCATTTTTTTGTCTAGCATAGTATGTGATCCTTGACTGTGGCTGCTAACTTGATCCTATATAAATTAACTTGGGAAGCTTGCCCACTAACTAGATCTTACATCTGAAAAATAGGTGACTTTATAATCTAACTTCTTTGGTTTATTTCAGAATGAGGATTCAGACCAAGACATGGTCCTCAGTCACCTCCTAGAAAAAGGATTTCCTACATCTTGTTGAAATGTCATTATCAGAGGCTAAAAGGTCATGTTCTCTAGTTTTGTGAGGTTTGTTTTGTGACTCTGGGAGGATACAGCTCAGTTATAACTGAGGGAGTTATAACCCTGAGGATGTGGTGTTGGTTCGCATCCTCTTGTGTTGCAATTTCTTCTGAACAATTTAAAATCCTACAGCTTTTCTAGAAGGGACTGATGTTCTTGTAGTCTGACATCCCACTCAAAGCAGGGCTATTGTTGAAGCTAGGTGAGATCACTCGGGGCCTTACTGAGTAACTTGAATAACTCCAAAAAATGGAGCTTCAGGTGCTCTCTGTAGCCTGTTTCAGTACTTACTTACTCATTTCTCATGATGCAATGTCTGCCCATTGCTGTTGGTCCTTTCTGTATGTCTAACAAGAGTGACTTTTTTTTTTTATGTTGATTTATAAGTGGCTCTAAAAATCTGTGTAGCTTTAGATATCAAAACACCTGTGAAATTCTGCACAAGACTGCACTCTCCAAGTAATATTACTAAAAGGATTCTCTCTTCTATTATGAGCTTGTATACAGTAATAGCTATAGTCATGTTTTTGTGTCATCTCTAAATTTAACTCTCCCATCTTCTCAGACAAAATTTACAGGTAATATGCTTGCCTTTGTGAAAAACATCTCTATGTGATTAATATCTGAGAATGTTCCTTCAGAGTTTTTGTTTGGCTTTAGATTCCTTATTTGTACTTTCAGTTTTTTAGAGGTGTACTTTCAAATTTAAGGGTATTGGGCTTTTTTGGATGGAGACTTTGGCATGTCAGTGCACTCGTACATCAAATTGTTTTTGCTCTCTCTTAATTAGACACTGTAGATTTCTTGATATAAAGTGCCATCTATTGAAAAGTATAAGTATTGTACATTCAATTATTTGGTTTCTTTTCTACCTTCCATCCACATACAATCTTCTAAAGGCTGCCATCAGTCTGAAATACTGAATTATCCAAAAATATTAATTAAAACCACCTTCTAGACACCAACATCTCAAAGCTGCTTTTGAAATTTTGGTTAAAACAAAAAAAAACAGACCCACAAAAAAACTTGTCAAACTTTTAGTCTTTGTTTTCAATAGTTTGTTAAAAAAAAGTGTATGCAGAGGGTCAAAATGAGATTACTCCTTTTTTTTCGCAAAGGTGTTTTTCACATGATGAATAATATTTTGTACGTAAAAAACAATAAATCAAATTATTTATTCAGAGCCTTGATCTCGTATTCATTCCCACTTCAAGCTGACTACTTCAGATTTGACTTTGGCTGCAAATTATAAACTTTGAGGGAAGTAGATTACTTTCCCTAAATAAGTATTTTAAAGCAAAATAATTGTCTCTGCAGTACAAAATTTAATGTTGGATGCTTCTGAAAATGGGAATTATCATACAAACTTTATTTAAGGCACATGGTACTCCACTTGTTGGAGTCACTTGTATAATTTTAAGCCTTAACAGTCTGAACTGTTAAGTGCTGGCTTTCATCAGGTTTCCATATGTGTTCATGGAGTGCAGAGCTGGAATTTGTACACTGACTTGTTTCTAAAGTTTTAAGTTAAATGAATCCCTTGATAGGAAGTTACTTTAGGAGACAGTCTCTACATGAGGCACATGTTAGATGGAAGCGTGGTTTTCCAGCACGTAGTAATGAATTCATGGCTCATCAATGAATAACACAATGCTTGCCAGCATCACTTAAAGCTCCCAGGACTTTGCATGGATGGCTATCAGTGTTCATTGAGATGACTAGCTAGTTGGTGGTTTTCTTGCCCTGATCTGCTTTAAACTGGGCCTTGTTTTACATTGTGGAGTCCAGTTGTAGTCTGCCTTTCCTGAATTTCTACTTTTTGACAAGAGGAAAAGACAGAACAGACTGTTCTGCATGAGTTCCGTCTAAGTATGTGTTCATTAATTATTAATCTCAGTATAGAAGGAAGGTCATTCAATCCAGTCTAGCTAATGTATGTGTGTATATACATGCGTACATATGTAGGCATTCAGTATTGTGGTGGTTTTGTATGTCAAACATGTATCAAGAATAATACAGATAAACTTGCTAAATTGTCCCACTAGATACCCTTTATATGGGATACAAATTTGATGAAATGCAGGGCTGCATGATAGAAAGCAGGCACTCTATCCACAAATCCATTTCATTTTGTAATGGATTTAAACACTGAAACTCTGTAGGCACTTCTTATCCATTGCTCTCTTAAAAATAAAAAATTCAAGTGGATAGTATTTGGTTTTATACCAGTTGTATCATGTGATGTATTAAGTCTAAGTTGCAGGAAGAATTTTGTTATTTAGGAAATGGGAGAATACTTACTGGGAGTGCACAGTGTTTTTTATCCAGGCTGTAGATAACGTTAAGTGTGACATTTTCTGATGTGAAAAATCAATGTTGTGTCAATTTTTAATTCTTTTACTGTATTTAACCAGAATTCCTAAGGAAGTGAGGCTGTTGGCTTATCACTACCTTCCTGCCTTTCTGGCAATTTTGTCATCACCTTTCTGCCACTGCCACAATTTTTATGTCCATTAGCCAATTTCAGCTGAACTGGGGGAGCATACAGCCTCAAAAGATATTGGTTTCTTGCAAAATCTGTGTATGTCAACAGCTGGAGGCATACGAGTTACTGTCACAGCTTAGATTTCATAGACCTGTGTCCTAGTATTGTTTTGAGGTAAGAAGCTGATGAGACAGTGTACGGATGCAAATTTTTTTTTTTTTAATTTTTAATTTTTTTGAAACTTGAGGAAATAATTCCCCTGTTCTTGTCCTTTTTCAGGAGAAGATTCCACATAAAGGATAATGGATGGAGTTTCCCCAGGTTTAATGCCAGCGTTAGTTTAAAACAAGAACATAATGTCAACTTGTCATTTCCTCTGAAAATACACGTTTGGTTTAATACATTTTCTATTTCTGTTCTGTTATGACTAAGGAGAAGCAGAATACAAGCTTGAAAATACTGCTGTTACTTAAAATTGCTGTTGAGATAATGAATTTATTGCTGTTACATAGTGCTCAAAAGTGGTTTGCAGAAACTTTTAATTAGTTCTTATGTTCTGCTGCAACCATCTCCCTGTCCATAGGGCTATAGAATTACCTGTCTTAGTTCACACTATTGTTGTATTTGATTTACTAAATTTAATGAAATACTGAGCAGCTTTGATGTAATTTTCCCCCCTCTCTTCCTCCCTGCCATTCTTCTTAGTAAATACATGAGCAGTTGAGGCAGAATACAGCTTTGGATAGTTGCAACCTTTTACCTACAACATGATCAGGCTGAATAACCTGAGTGAGTGTGTGTATGTGTAATCAAATAAAAAAAAACAATCCTGAGCTTCATGAAAGAAAAGTATACCTATGAAGAGAACTTAGAATTGTTGAAACAGTTTTATCTTGTGCTTTTTTTTTAAGGTCCTTACACTAGTATGTTTATGGCTTGTGAAATTAAACATGAACACCAAAATTCTACAGAAACAATTCTATTCTCAGTCCTTACAATGTCAGCGAATCTTACAGAGTTGGTGTTTGAAAACACCTTGTGACTGTACTTCCAAAGACCTTGTTTTTTAAGCTTCTTGCCGCTAGGTGGAAGAAGAAGGTTATCAAAACTATGCCTTGGTGCTACCAGCCTAGTTATCCTTCACCAGATCCATTCCTTCTTACTGTATCCTTGAGTTTAGAAAAAGGTGTTTCAGTCAAGCTGATGATGGCTTATTTTGTTTTTTTTTTTTTTTTTTGAGACATCTTTATTAAAAGAAACACTATGCCAAGCTGTGCATAGTTCTAAATTTTCTTTTCCTACAGGAGTATTTCTGTAATTTTGAGACAAAATTAGCGGAAGATAAATTCCATGAGGTGACAGTCTGTAATATAAAAGTGTTATGATATGCAAACTTTCAAAAAAGGCTGTGTTTAATTCTGAAGGATTTTTGTTTTTTCTTTTGTGTTTTTTTTTTCTTTTTTCCCCCTTAATTTAAATTTAGCCTGGTTTGTGAGAGATTGTGCACCCCTTCAGGAGTGAGGCTCAACTGATGTGAATACTTTGGAATGAAGATTAGAGAATAATGTGAAAAAGTATGAAAACTGTAGCTTAAGAGGGACAGAAAATTGCTGTTCTTCAATACAAAAATGCAACTGAAAAGTTTTCTTTAAAGATAGCTTGAGTGGTATTGTGTCTTGCTGGCACAAGTGATTTGTGCCTTAAATGCACAATGGAGCAACTTAGGCTATCAGGTTTATCATGGTAGGTGATAAAAATCTAACATTTTGTGAAGTGACACTGCACAGTGTTTTGTTTTTTTTTTAATGCAAAAACTGTGAAAGGGAGTAAAATTTTGCTGGTATCTTTGTATACTTTTAAATATTTTAATATTTTTCTCCAATATGCCATATTAGATGTTAGAGCCAGTAAGATGTAATTTCATGCTGGATTATGTGTTTTGTTAGCTATGACTGGCGTAGCTACTGTAATATCTGTTCTAGTTAACTTGTTAGAAATGCAAGTCGGTTAATATTTGTATTGCCCAGCAATATGATACAATACTGGTGAATAAGTACTATGTTGCTTGCTATTTCATTTTCCCAGGCTGAGGTGTTTTGTGCCTCTGAAAGCCACAGAACAGAATGTTTGTTTTATTTTAAATTCTGACCATGTAACATACTTTCAAAATATGAATAGCACAGAGCATAGTTTGCTGCACATAAAATGTAACAGTATTCTTTCACACTGCTAGAGCCAGCTCTGAAGTGGACTTCGCTGCATTTAATTTTGGTACATTTATAGTAATGCTATTCAAGTTTGATAGTTAACCTGCATTTATTTTATTGATTGCTTCCTTTTGCTTTCAGTGAATGCTTTAGTTTACTACAGTGTCTCTGAACAGCAAAAGTACTGGCAAGTGGTTTAAGCCTGATTCTAGAACCCTTATTTATACTGGTTGTATAATCAGCTATACACAGGCTCATACAAATGATCCCAGTGAGATCACTGCAACAGTTAACATAAAGTGTATGATAATTATGCCTTTTTCCATCTACTTGTCTATTTGTTGAAATTAGTATCA